AAAAAAAAAAAAAAAGCAACAGGAACATTATTGTAGCTACTAAAGTATACAACAAAACACTGATATGTACAGAATGCTTTTTATTTTTACTTTTGTTAGGCCACATTTTAGATATACCACTGACTTTGTCTCCAACCCACCTTTTTTTGGGGGGGGGTGGGTTACTGGGGATCAAACTCGGGACCTTAAGCTTGCGAGGCAGGTGGCGGAACCACTGAGCCAAATCCCCGTCCTTTTAGTCCAACTTTTACTCTTAAAGTTCAAAGACAAAGGACCAAAAATTAAAAATTACAAAAAAGACATGAAGAGAATTCACACTTGCAATCAACTAATAAAATGTTTTTGAAAATTAGGATAAGTACTAGGTACTGTCTTTGATAGTGTGGTGAGAAGTAATGATGTTGGCCATGGATAACACAGTCAGCTCTGGATGTGTATCTTAAGGATCAGGGTCAGTGTTACTGCCCTCAGAACTGAGGTTTAATAACTACTAAGACGGTAGAACAGGGATGTCACAAGGTCTTTTGTGAGTGGATACGAGGAGGGAACACTTTAGTCTGGGTTAAGGAACAAAGTAAAGGCGGTACTTGATAGAGGATGTGAACATCTGGAATGTGTAGAGAGTGAGAGGTAGATGTTTTAAGATGCTGGGAAGGCATTTGCATATTATGGCACCTCGTGGAGCTTAAGTCATTCCAAGTTCCCCAATTGCAAAATGCATACATATTTTTATAAGTACATAGGGCAATAAAGTTGTACCAGGACAGCATCATAAGTATTATAAAATAGTTCTATGTGGGTAACTGTTTACTTTTCTATTTCTGACTGACTGCTGAAGTTTTTTTTTGTTTTTGGTCACATTTACATTCTTAATATTTTTAAATAATTTATAGGAGAATTTAGTTGAGAGTAAACATCATAAGCTTGCCCGGAGTTTAAGAAGTGGACCTTCTGACCATGATCTCAAACCCAATGCTGCCACAAGAGATCAACTAAATGTAAGAGTATTGATAAAACACAAATAATAAATAATGTATTAAAAATAATGTAATGGATATTTTGGTGATAACTGATATTATCAATTTAAAAATGATTTTGATAACTTTCTTTGACTTTTCAGATACACATTTTTTCTAGGATAATCCACTCTACCTAATTTCAACAATTTCTTGTCTGTGTGTATTAGTGTTTTAGTTACCCTTCTGTTACTAGTACAAAATACCTGATATGTGTAACTTAGTCCATTTCCCATTTTTCCTGGGAATACTTGCTATCAGCAGTTAGAACAGCATTTACTCTAAGGTAACTCACAAATCATGGTCTTAGCCTTTCCCCCGTCTTTTGCCATGAAATATCTTGCTTTTGTTTTTGCACCATTGTATTACGTCCATAGTTTTTGGAAATAAAAAATATCATTCTATTTATTATAGCATTCTCTTTTTAACAGTAGTGTTTCCATACTCAGAATATTATAATTCTTTCTGGGGTGGAGGTGACATAGGGTCTCACTGTGTATTCTGGCTGTCCTCAGACTCATGGCAATCCTCATGCTTTAGCTTCCCGAGTGCTGGGATTACAAGTGTCTGCCACCATGCCTGGTGAAATATTGTAATGCTGTGCTGTTTTTTGTTTTGTTTTGTTTGTTTTGTTTTGAAGACAAGGGTCTCACTGTGTAGTTCAAGCTGGCCTTGAGCTCACTCTGTAGCCCAGGCTGGCCTCAAATTCCCAGCTATCTTCCTGCCTCAGCCTCCCAAGTACTAGGATTACAGGCGCCCAGCTGTAATTCTTTTTTTTTTTTTTCCCAGCTATAATTCTTGACCCTTGAAAATTAAATGAACTCTGTGGGGAACTGCACTGTTTCTTTTCTCTCTTTTTTTTTTTTTTTCCTAAAGGAGAAATGTGTTAAAGGAGGAAAGGTTTTATTTTGTTTAAATTCTGAGGTTTCAGTCCATGGTTGGCTGGTTGCAAGGCAGAAACTGCATGGCAGAGGAAAGCTGCTTGGCTCTGGGTAGCCAGAAAGCAAAGAGAAAAGAGCAGAGATACCTTTCAGAGCTGTGCCCCCAGAGATCTACCACCTTCAGTGAGGCCCAGCTCAGTCATAGTCTGGTGATGAGGTTAGCTCCCCATCATCTCATTTCTGTCCAGAAGCCCCACCTTGGAACACATGAGCCTTTTGAGGAGCATTTTTGATCCAAAACATAACACTTCAGGCTTGTTTTTATTTATTTGGGGACTTTTAGTAAATTTACTAGCTCTAGAGACAGAGCTATGCATAGTTTTACTTTTGTCATAGTATTCTTAGAATATGGCCCTAAGATAGTGATGGCAAACCTTTTAGAGACGAGTGCCCAGACTACAACCCAAAACCCATGTATTTATCGCAAAGTACCAGTACTGCAGTTAAGCCTGAATATTTTCGTGCTGACAGAAAAGACTCTGTGGCAGCACACATGCCATAGGTTCAACATCACTGCTGAGACATGGCCCAAGAGAGGAATTGGTGTGGAACATGCATTGTTGTATGTATTGACTTCATAAGACAAAGGTGTTGGTTTTTTTCCTTTTTTGTGGTGGAGGGCATGATTTGTTTTTTGAGTTGAATTAAATGAAGTCTGTAGTTATGCACTTTTATTTATTTATTTTTGGAACATGGTCTTGCTGTGAAGTTCATGCTGCCCTTGAACTCACTATGTAACTCCAACTGGCCTTAAACTCACGGCGATCTTCCTGCCTCAGTCTCTCAAGTGCTGGGATTATAGGCATGCACCACCATGCCCAGCTAATATACTTATGCACTTTTATATGGAGCATGACTTTCTATCTCTATCCCCACCCCCACCCCCGCTTTGTATCCTAATGCTATACATGTTGGATGGACAAGTACAGAAAATTTAAATCTTACTTGGCTAAATACACTGTCTCCTTGCTAGTATAGTTAAATAAGCAACAATTTTAAATTTAGTGGAAATATATAGGAACTATGTATTTGATAAAAGTGGTTCTTTTCCTTCTTTGTTGTAGATTATTGTGAGTTATCCACCAACCAAGCAACTTACATATGAAGAACAAGATCTTGTTTGGAAGTTTAGATATTATCTTACTAATCAAGAAAAAGTGAGTTTTTTAAGTATTTTCATATGTCAAAATTATGTAAAAACTGCAACCAAAGATAGAAATAAGGTAAAATTACAATGGAAATGTAACTACTGTCAACCTAAAAAATGTTGCTGAGCAATATATATATATTACTTCATTTTAACAAAATTGAAAGGTATATGCACCAAGACATATGTTCCTGTTTGTTGATGCATTGACGGTGTCTAAGTGGATTTTCCAAGTGGAGACTTGTATTTAGTTTCTGACACTACAGCTTCTATGTGTTAGTAGAGTAAGGCACATTACCTTGTTGCACATTGTTCTAATGAAGACACCCTACTCTCACAGGTGAGACAGTGTAGATAGAACACCTGGTGCATTCTAACTGAAGCTAAACACCGATTCTCTTCCATCTTATTCTTAGAGCCAGGGTGATTAGGAAAATGCTTACATTATTGAAGGAGCTGTAGAATTCCGGAGGAAGTGTGGCTGGCAGGAGAGAGTGTGAGGAGCCTTGGTGGGAATGAGGAGATTGAGTCAGTGGAGTGGTAGACAGCTTGGCACACAGGAGGAAAGCTGGGTGGGGACTGGAGATTGGCTTTTCATAGTGAAGTCTCGAGTGGATGGGATTTCTGGAGAGAGAATTGTGATAAGGTCATCCACAGTAGATGCAGGTGTGCTGACCTGGTTTGGAGTTTGTTACCACTAAGAAGCTTTTGACTGCAGGCAAATTACTTCACCTATCTAAGCTTTAATTTCCTCATATTTAATATGAGATGATTGTATGATAGTGAATTTTATATCTCTTTTGGTTCTTGAAATAATCTGCAAAGTCTTAGGACAGAGCCAAGGATTAACTTTTAAATATAAAAAATATAAAAATAATAGCCAGATATATTAAACAACTTTTGTGTGCTAGGGTTCTTTTAAATTTCACAACAGCCTCCCAATATACATATTACTGACAGTGTGTTGCTTAGGGAGATTTTACTTGCAGAATCCCAAAGCTTACAAGTGTCTCGAGATATGCTTGCATTTATAAATAAAAAAAGACAAGGGAGTCAGTGGACATAGGAAAGAGAATGGTAGAGAAAACAGTTGCAGTGTCATGTGTCTCCTTATGTAGAATTTGGAAGTGCACTAGGGAAAGAGCAGAGAAGCATTAGGAAATTAACAACTGTAAGGAAGCTGTTATGTAATTATGTCACAATGGTTTAATGGATTAATATATTGTACAACATGTCTTTAACTACTTTGTTTTAACTTGTTTTTCTTTAGTTTTTAAAGATAAAATCTGGTTACAGAATATTTTAACTCTTCAGTTTTTCCTCTTTATCATTTACTGAAGCCCCGGGAAATTCTTTGTAGATTAGATGAATCATATTTATTGTCCCTCGTCCATAATAAGAATAAGAGAGGAATTTTAGATTTATTTTAGCTTTGAGTATTTCTCTCTTCATCCTTGAACAAAAGGTAATATTCATCAGCTGAAACACAGGTTGGTGATTTTGTGTTTGGTAAAGATTGCATTAGTGTCATGATACTGTGTTAAATGAAGAATAACCTTGGTCACAGGAATTACATCTCGAATGCAGCACAGTGTCATCTAAAATACACAGCAAGATATTGAATTAAACCTGTTAGGATGTGTAGGTTCAAGATGCATAGAATAGATTTACGGAGCAGAACTTCCTTAGATAGAAAGGCTTACAAGAAAAATTGTTTGTTTAAACAAGTAGTCACTTTCCACTGAAATCCAATTACTTCCAGATATGTGCAAAAGAAATAAAATGCTCAAGTGATATAAAGTGTGTGACAAGTTTCATTTAACTAGTTGATTTCAAGTTTTCGAAAGGTAGGCCATGAAACTTCAATTCTCAGTACATATTATAGGATTCTTACAATCACTAGAGTAGAGTGTGAATGATATTTTTTAATGTTCAGGAAGCACTTTTGAGTAAACCAAATATATATTGGCCTGAAGTGACCAGAAGAATTATTCACACAGCTACCTTTGTAATAATTTAAAATGGATTTTGTAAGAAACAAATGCTCCTATATGCTACCCATTCATTTATTTAAATTCTTTCAGTATTAGGTTCTCAAAAATTGTTATTTAGGTTATATAGCATTTGAGCCCTGTGGCTGAAAAGCCTCCCTAGAGACAAGGCAGTGCTCAGAAAACAAATTGGAGGAAATTGGCTCTTATAAAGTTATACTATTTATTTTTAAATTAAATTTGAATTTTTTTAAACCTGGTTTTTGTCTAAATGACATATCTTAAATATTTGCATAAAAATCACCTAGTCTGGACTTGATATTGCCCTCCAAAAGGTCACAGTAATAATGTTGTCTAATAAAAGTATTTAAATTTATGAAATATATCTAAATTTGTGGTCCACAGCAGACAGGAAGTAACTTGTTTTTCAGAACCCAAAACGTGAATATCACAGTTTTTCAGATAGCTTTCACAGTGGCCTTTTTTTTGGTACCGGGGATCGAACTTGGGATCTTGTGCTTGCAAGGCAGGCAGCAGAACCACTGAGCTAAATCCCTGGCCTCCACAATGGCTTTTCTTAAAAAATACTAATTAAAAATAACAAGTTAATATAATAGCTCTGTCTCTCTATTATGCTGGGGGGGGAGTGATAGTAAAAGTTATATATAGTGAAGATAATAGTGATGTGTTAAATTTTCTTATAAGGCTACTTCTGAGGCAGTGACACCAGGACAGTAATCATATTTGTGCTTCCAAGCAAGAAGTTGATGGTGAACCATAGAAAAAAGTGAATTTAATTTAGCAAGCATTTATTATCAACTCTTGGCCTAGCATTATACAGGGCTCTAGATATCATGTCTATGTATTACGTCTATAGATTAAATTTGTTTTAGGCCAAGAATGTTTACACACAATCGAAATGAGGAAATATGAGATAGTAATTGATTAAGCCTCACTGTTTTGGTAAACATATATTATTACAGTAGAAGAATGAAGGATGACAAGATCTTTGTGCTGTGATGTGAGAGAGATTTCACACAGGAAGGAATGGACTTAGTAGTAAGCATGTTCAGTTATTATTTGTTGATCATTTTTTTATGGGAAAGAAAAGCATAAATAAGGTAAGTTATTAGGTTCAGGAAAAAGCAGAGTTTGAAAGGTTATTTAAAGAAAAGTAGCATCAGATGGGCTTTGAATTTTATCATTGGAATTGGATTATACTGGTAACAGGAAACCATTTTAAGGAAGATGAACTGGGTATATTAGAGCAGTAAAAAAAAGGACTTTACTAAGGAGGGTCACATACTAATTTATAGAGCAGTTTTGGAAGGCAAGGTAGTGGGAGGAGGGAGGAAAATGTTTGAGTTGTCTTATGACAAGTGAGGGGTTAGGCCTAAGTTCTCAAAATAAGGGAAGATGGTAAGTGGAAGGAGCAAGGGAAGGAGATGTCATTTTTTATTATTTTGAATTGAAGGTATTAGAAGAGCAGCAAAGTAGAAATTTCCAATAATTGAGTTAAGTAGAAGTTAAAATTAGAGATATACATGGATATGATAAATACTGGGTTTTTAGCATTGAAGTAACAATAGGAGGAATAGGAGATAACAGTAAAGAATATTGAAAAGGTTTAACAAAGTATTTGTATTGATACAAAACATACTAATAAGTATAGTAAGATTAATGTTTGATACTAGAGTCAACATATTAGAAATAGAGTAACAAGAACAACCAATAATGAAATAATTAACATTTATCAAGTATTATATGTAAAATAATGTTTTAAGTGTTTTACTTTCACTAATTTATTTAATCTTCACCATAACCCAAAGAGGTAGATCTATTGAAAGTTTAAAAATATGCTCTAGGTGACTTGGCTAATAATTGATAGAGCCGGGAAGTACCATTTGAACCTACACATACTAACTGACACCTATACTCTATTTTTGGAAGCTGCAGAATAAAATTGCATCAGGATCCTGTATCTTTACATAAAGCATATTTAAAAAAAATAAAGCATATTTAAAAGGCCAGTGGTTAAATATCATTATCATTATTGCTGTCTTCAAATTCTTATACTTTGTTTCTCATTCTTTTCTATTGCCTTACATCTGTAGCATTTAGCATGTTAAAGCAGGGAAAGTTTTTGTATAGTGCCTTAAGTTCTTTATCAGCAGCATGCTCTATAAATCCTACTAATAGATCTATAAATCTGAGAATCTAGGAGTTAGATTGTTTCAGTTATTAAATACATTGGTGTGCTGCAAGATTTGCTTATAAGTACACATTTCTATTAAGACTGCTGATGTACTGTGAAATGGAAAAGCTTTTATTGTACTTATTTAAGAAGTGTTACTTTGTTTCCACATTCAATCTAGACATATATTTTAGAAGTGAAAAGTAAGTGCATGGAATGTTGGGACAATCTGTCCTATGTGAAGAGAGAGAATTATGCTAAATGGAGTGATGGTGGTAGATAGGAAGAGTGCAGCTGTCTTCGGGGAATCCAGGCCCCAATTGTAGAGATAAAGCCCACAAAAGCATTTGGTAGTTAGAAGAGCATTATTTAAATGACAGTGGTACAACTGAGCCAACTACTAAAGGAAGAGCTTAAAGTTGCTTGAAACTTCTGGGAGAAAATTGAGTTTTTGACAAGTTGACCTTAAGAGGATACCACTGTTTTGCTGAAGAACATTTAAGGAGGGATTGTAGATGGAGAGTCATTTTTAAAATTGGTTAACTTGGCTGAAGCATGGAATGGTGATGAGAGCTTATGAAATTGAGGTTTGGATTGTGGTGAGAAGTGTCAATGAAGTATTTTGAGAAAGAAAAGCCAAGAGCTTTTTGGTAATGTACTTGTTTGTTTATTTACAAATTAGAGTGACTGTCATCTTACTAAAACCACATTATCAAGTAGATGCTGTAAAATGAAAATTATTTCCAAGTGATCTTAGAGTTCATGAGATATGTCTCAACTGTTTTCATGTTATGAAGCCTGCAGTATTTTAAAATAACAAGCAAAACGATGAAAAGCAAAAGCAATTTAAAACTTGATCCTGCTTTGCAAAATTTTTGGCCTGGAAAATGTATAGAGGAAACAAGCTTGTATCCTCTTCTGCGGTGTTTTGCTGGGGTCGTACATATAACTACACTGAGTGTTTACACAAGGAGTCTGTTGCTGACTTTGTGACCCAGCCATCGGGACCAAGTACAACTCTGCCTAGTCACCCTTGATCTTTCCTATTCCTGGCAATAGGATGTTGTTTCTACTTTTTGTTTTTGTTTTTGTTTTTTTGAGACAGGGTCTTGCTATGTAGTTCAGGCTGGCCTTGAACTCACTATGTAGCTCAGGCTGGCCTTGAACATGGCAGCAATCCTCCTGCTTCTCCCTCCCAAGTTACTGGGATTACAGGCATGTACTGCCACACCCGACAGCTGTTCCTAATTTAAAAAATATTTTTTTTCTAACTTTAGGCTTTGACGAAATTCTTGAAATGTGTTAATTGGGATCTACCTCAGGAGGCCAAGCAGGCATTGGAACTTCTAGGAAAATGGAAGCCAATGGATGTTGAGGATTCCTTGGAACTGTTATCCTCTCATTACACCAACCCAACAGTGAGACGTTATGCTGTGGCCCGGTTGCGACAGGCTGATGACGAGGTATGGTATTCATTACTCCTTGACTAGGTACATTATAAACTGGGGCCTAATTATAGACTATGTAGGAGAGAAAGATAGAGGGAGAACATGCAAGAGCGTGCACAGGGGAGATTTTTAGATGGGAAGCGGATATACTACATGTGTTTTCAGAAGTAAAATTAAAATATTCCTCCAAGGACCCCTCTGTGAAATGAAAATTTACTTCCTGATCTGTTACGTGGTAGGACAATCTCTCCCCGGACATTTCCCTGGCACCAGAGCTTGTATTGCTCTGTCTGGAAAAAGGAATTCTAATGAAAAATGGTTTAATGCAGCACCATCTAGGGAATAATTCAGATCCCCTCTATCAGTCAGTATACAACAAGCCACATTTAATTGTAGCCTTGCAAAACCCGTGGGGCTGTTAGAGCACAGAGATGCATGGTCATCTTGCTGTCCTTCATTCAAACGCCTCCCTGAAACTTCCAGCTGCTGACAATTATGTGAACATGTAGATTTTCCAAAGGTGGTTTTGAATCCTCTAGAATGCAAGGACTGCAAATTTTATGCTGAAGTTTTATATACATGTGAGGCTATTAGAAAGGGGAAACACTAGTTGACACAAAGGATTGATAGATTTTGAGTTTTATTCCTAATGAATTAGGCTAATCAAGTAATTTCTTAATTTTTCTAAAGCCTCCATATGCATATGAATATCTATCTCAATGACACTTACTGATTTTCAAAAAAACAAGCAAGCACAGAAAACGAAACAGTGCAATCATTTCGAATTAGTAGTGGCATCTGAATTTAAAGAAGTAAATGAAGCATTTAACTAAAGTTGATATATGTGTGTAGTTAGTAAATTTTAAACAATAACATGAATAGTATAGTGAACCTTCAAATATAATTCACCTATCTTCAGCAGTTGTCAGTCTACCACATTCTACCTTCCATTAGATTATTTTGAGACACAGTGCAGACGACTGACTGACTGGCTATTAATTATGGGTTCTCTTGACTCCCACTATGGGTTCAATGATTTGTTATAATGATTTACAAAACTGGGAGATATTACTTACTGTTGCCTGTTACTTACAAAAGATGTATATACATTTATGCTACTCACTGCATAGTTCAGGATAGCCTTAAACTTGTGTTAACCCAGGCTGGTCTTGAACCCCTGTCTCAGCCTCCCAAGTGGTAGGATTACAGGCGTGTGCCAACATGGTGAGATTAGAAGGATATTTTAAAGGATAGAGTGATCAGTCAGAGAGATGAAGAGATGCGTAGAGTGAGGCCTTGAGCACAGCAACTTTTGTTTACTGCTTCAGGAATATATTCTTGTTCACTAAGCCAGAGCTTTTAAGATCTTTTCATGTTAAATTTTTATGGATACCTCGTTACATAGGTATGATTGATGAAATCATCAAGCAATGATGATTAAGTCAATCTTTGGGCCCTGACCCTAGAGTTTGGGGAATGGGATTAAAGTTGCGACCCTAGCCGGGTGCAGTGCCACACGCCTGTAATGCCAGCACTCAGGAGTCTGAGGCAGGAGGATCCCCAAATTCCAGGCCACCCTGGGCTACATAGTGAGTTCAGGGTCAGTCTGCACTACAAAGTGAGACCCCGTCTCAAAAATAAAGATAAATAAGCGAATAAAGTTGCAGTTCTTTAATTACCTGGCTGGTTCCTCTGGGAACTGGCACACATCCTTCGGGGCTTTGCAGAGTAACCTCCTTAGCATAAACTTATGTGCTGTGGAAAGGGGCTTGTTACTCTCCTTTTGCCTTAGTGATTCTTACTTACCACTTAGGAAACTGCAAGTTTTAAGGATCTTGTTAGGAACCAGGGATAAAGACCAAATGTACTAACCATATCACAGTATCACGGGTAGTCACTTACATATACTTCCATATGTTCTCTCTGCAATTATAAGATTATTTATGCATTTGTAGTATATATACCTCTTGCTTTTAAAAATTAATATAGATGGGAATATGCTATTAAAATTGGCCTTATTAATTGAAGTGTAAATCATGGACAGTTTCTCAATATCAGCATATATTTATGTATCCATGTATGTGTGAACGTATAGAGAAAGAGAGACACCACCAAAAAATTATACACATTTCAGCAGTTCGCCATACTATAATTGCTGGAAGCTAATGGCCACCACTTTGAGCACCTCTTCTAATTGTAGAGGTCAAAAGTAACTTGTATTAATTTTATGACGTCTCAATAAATTTAGTATCAAAATATTTGTATAAATTTTTATTTTCCTGATACATACATTTTTTGGCAGATTATATGTATATGTGTGTGTACGTATATATATGTATGGGTATATATGTGTGTGTATACATATGTATGTGTGTGTATATATATTTATGCATGCACACACTGTCCATAAAGTAAGGAAACATAGGCAAATGAGTATCCATCATGTAGTTAAGGGTATATATTTAGTCTGTTAAAAAAATACTGTATTCTGACCTTTATGGATATCTTTTTCCTCCTGTCCTTCTAGGTTCTCAGGACTTTAGCAAAAAGAAAAACATATTTATTCACTATAAACACTACATGGAAAGAGCATCTTCATAAGGAAATAAAAACCTCAGAAACAGTTAAACTTGAGCATGTTTATACTAAATTTGATGAATGATAGAAAGTCAAGGGAAATGCACTGGGGCAAAGGAGGGATGAGCATTGTAAGAGTAACAAGCTGGAAAAATCAGGTTGTTTGTTGAGACTCTTCTCACTGTCCTCCATCTTCTGAGACAAGTGTACCTCTGGGTTTAGGAAGGATACTTCTTACGTGAAGGTCTTAGAACCTGCTGCAGGAAAGGGATAGAGTCATTTCTGACTACTGTTTCTCAAACTTAATATGAGTCCTACTCAAATATGTAATTTAAGCCAGGGATTTAGCTCGGTGGTTCTGCTACCTGCCTCGAAAGCACAAGGTCCCGAGTTTTGATCCCCAGTACCAAAAAAAAAAAAGTAATTTAAAATATTTGAATGCTAGAGTGCTAAGTGTTTTGGTGTAATTTATTCCGAACCTTGTTACTGTAGATGTATCTTATACTTTTTAAACAGTGGCATAATACTCTATTGTGAGTTTATTTTATAATATACTTAAGCAATGAGTATCTTTGGATAGGGAATTATTTCTAGTCCTTTGCTGTAATTACATTTTCATGAGCAGATTTTTGTATTTTTGCATATTTCTCATAATCTTGAATATATAGCTTGCATTGGAATTACTAGGCCAAAAGATATGTGCTTTTTACATTTGCTGATAATCCCTTATAAGTCTTCAGTTATGCTAAAATCATACGTTAAAAACATAGCTTTATAATACATTAAACAAATTCTTTTCTTTTTTCACTATTTATAATTTTTGTACTTATTCTTGCCTTGAAGTTTAATTTAACTCCACAAAAATTTTGAGTTAAAAAGACTTCTACACCTTTATGATAGCCTCCTCTTTTAGCAACATGATTCACATCTCGATTTTATGAAAACTTGATTCATTTTAAAAAATCAGATTTATTTTCTGACAATTATAGTATATTGTTTGTTGCTTGAACTATTTCATCTCTTTTCTTATTTATACTTGTTAATTAAAAATAAAACTGAGGAGGGGTATTGGAGAAAGACATGAATGAAATGTTGATCTCATAATTGGAGTTCGTATCTCAAGTTGAGAACAATAAAAACAAAAGCAAGGAAATTGAAAAGTACGAAAAGAACAAAAACTATTTCACTTTGACAAGAGTGTGGGATATTTGTAGCTCTTGACAAACTCGTGTCTCTTAGCTGAGTATGTCTATATGAAAAGTTACTTTTGCTTCAGTAAGAAATGGGAGTTCAGCAAGTGATTTTGGCATGGGGCTTTGCATTTGCACTTTGTAGCGTTGGAATTAACTTGTTCTTAAGAAAAATGGTGAACACTATAAAATTTCATGGCTCTCGGGAAAGCTTTACTGAATATCTGAGCTTGAAACGAGACTATACATATATTTTTTTTGTTTTATTTTCTTTTACTCACATACTTATGTTCATCATGCTTGAAAACATTTTACATTTTCCAAGATATGACTGTATAATGAGGAAGCAGGCTTTATTCTTACTGTTGTGATTAATTTTCATATACATGAAGAAAAGTATACAGTAGTTGAAATATAGAATACCAGAAGACCAAGAAAATCAGATAGTGATCAATGATTTAAAAAAACAATGTTTTTAAAAATTTCCCCTTCCTGGGAATTTAATAATATGCAGCGTTTTTGATTTCATATTATTAAGTCTTTTCTGTTTTTGGGAAAACACACAGGTGACACATTTAGCAGTTGGTAGTGAAGACTAGCAGTGAAACTGAATCACACCGCCAAAGAAAGATACTTATCATTAATATCATTAATATTGATCACCTTTCATTGTGTGACATACTATTTTTCCTGAGGAAAAAAATTTGTAAGTATAGTGTTTGGATGCTATAAATCTCAAATATGTTAATAATGTTTATTGGTCCAGTCAAAAACTTTTTGGAAACAGAACACTATAGAAGTGCTTTCATCCAGAGCACTTGATTTCCCTGGCCACTGACATTGACATATGCAAGTAGGAATCAGCCAGTTAATTGTTTAACTCATACATGATGAAATCATTTATATTACTTTTTGTTTGCTTAATGATTCAAGTTTTTACTATGTTGAGGTAAGATACAAATTTTGAAAAAAATAGTATTAAGTAAGAAAATAAGTTGCTGCCAAGTTGTCTTGGTCCTCATGGATCTATGGAACAGTGGAAATAACAGTGGAAATAAAGAAGTAATTGTGGGTGCTGTGGATGCTGTTGATAGGAAAGAAAAGTGTAGGCCATGAAATATTCAATGAATGTTTAATGTGGGTTATGGACAAATAGAGGATTGATAATTGATAATCTCAGTTCTCAGAATTACTTAGTTTTGAGTTTCATGGGTTATAGTTAGGTGAATGACAGTTGGAATTGGAAATAACTGATTTTTCAAATTTTTTAATTTTGCAAGTTTCTTCAGTTTTTAATTATTTTTGAGTAAATTTGCTAGCATTTCCTTAATAGTCCTTGAAAAAAGTGAACAACTACTTTTATAAAGTCATACAGGAAACATTTTCATCATAACATTAGTCTTTTTACACTCAGAGAAAATTTAGAAAAGTAAAATCTATGTTGTTGATACCTTTTTAGTCCTCATTATCTCATTGATTATCAGAAATATAGGGAATTTAGGTTTAGGCTTTTTCTCTTTAAGCTTTTGTTAGCTGGCAGAAGCAAGCATTTCCTTGGGGGGTGTTAAAATGTCTGTTTTATAGGATCTTCCATTTAAGAAGCACTTGGGGTTCTCTAAAACCTGAGCTTTAAGGGGGGAAAAAAAGGCGAAAGCTTACAAAAAAGTCCTAACCAGGGAAGATCATGAAACAGAAGTACTTTTAAAACTTGAAAATTTGAAGTCTTTTATATAATTATCTTAAGCAAAGTATGATTGAAAAATAACAATGAATGTTTAATTGAAAAGTTTATTACCCTATTGTCACTAATTCCCTTAAAATACTCCTCCTTGCTTCAAACACACCCTCTTTCTGAAGCAGTTCGGGAAGTTTTTTGTGAGTGTGCTTAGTTGCACTGTTGTGGCTGCCTGGATGTCTTGAATTTATTCAAAATGTCTACCTCTCATGATCATTTTGATGTTGAGGAAGAGACAGAGCCAGAAGCCTCACATTGCCAGATCTGGTGAGTGAGGTGGATGAGGACACACCAAGATGTTTTCTTGAGTGGAACCTACCTTTCTATGGGATGGCACACGACAGCAATATTCACCATGTTTCTTGATCACCTGTTCACAAAAGAGGACTTCAGAACTGTTTCAGAAAGTGGCAAGAGATGTAAGATAAGCATGTTCCAAGAAAGGGAGAGTTCTTTGAGGGGGACTAATAGGAATGTGTGTCTTTTACTGTAATCAGTTTTTTAATATTTAAATATTCACTGTATACTTTGACCACACCTTGTAGAATGTATTTATCTGATTTTTCTGGGAGAAAAAGGAATCCTTTAGATACCACTATGTTAGACCACTGATGGGACAGCCACTTAATTGTGTGCCACATACTCTTGTGTAACTTACTTCTATTAAATGATTTAATGCTCATGACTATCTAAATCTTATATTACTGTGTTCATTTTACAGAGGAGAATGCTATGAGGCACCAAAAGGGGTTAAGTAACTTAGTAACACCAAAGGTGAAATAGCTGGAGAGTAGTAGATAAACCTAAAATGTTAGCTTAACATTTAGGAATGAGTTGTGTCTTTATTTTGTTTTTGCTTTTCTAATATTACCCTATTTTGTTGTTTGTTTTCCAGGATTTGTTGATGTATTTATTACAGCTGGTCCAGGCTCTCAAATATGAAAATTTTGATGACATAAGGAATGGGTTGGAACCGACCAAGAAGGATAGTCAGGGTTCAGTGTCAGAGAGTGTGTCAAGTTCTGGAATAAGTTCTGCAGAAATAGATAGGTATGGATATTCAGTAAGGATATATTTCAAATTTTATAGTTTTTGACATTTTAAATTGTCTTCTCATTCTTTTTCCCCAAATGTACCAAACCTTAGCTCTACTAATTTTGAAGGTTTATCAGTGAATATATATAACCCATGTGCACGTACAGAACACAACTTACCAAATACCTATATTAAAGTCTCAACTCTACTATTTATTAGCTGTTCAAATTTGTTTTATTTTGTGGTCATCGTATCTCTCCTCCCCACCCCTACCCTCGCCCTGCCCAGTACTGGGAATTGGACCCACCATGTCCTTGGTGTTGAGCTGCATGTCCCACTCTTTTATAATTTTGAGACAGGGTCTCACTAGTTGCTAAGTTGCCCAGGCTAGACTCAAACTTGTGATCCTCCCTCAGGCTTCCAGAGTGCTGGGTTTACTGATGTGTACCACCACACCTGGCTATTAGCGCTGTGCAAAATGGTTCAAGTTGCATATTCTTTATGTGACTCCACTTTCTCCCCTTAAAATTAAATATAGCAATAATAACCAATCTTTACAGATTTTTTGAAGATTAAATGATTTAAGGCTAGTTTAGCATTTAGAGACTTGTCTAACACTTTGTGTTCAGTAAGTATTAGTTACTACTACTGTGTACGTTAAAATAAAATGAAGGATAGGGTAGCTTAGTGGGCCCAAATAATTATATGAGAAGTTTATTTTATTAGCCGCTTTCTCTTCTTTCATAGTTACACTAAGCAAATAGCAAATTATCTGAATTAGAAAACAGCTATTAAAAATAATAACAAGGACCAAGTCCCAACTGTGTACCTGACCCTATGCCAGTGGTCCACATACATTATCTCATTGCAACAATTTCTGTAAGTACTGTGAGCTAACTGATTGCACCACTGGAACGCCCAACATTGCAGCAGTTTCTAAGGTTGGTGTTCATATCCTTAATTTTTAGATGAAGGACAGATGAGAAGTTAAGTAAATGAGCCGGTCTTTGTCTTGCAATTTTTTTTTTTTTTTTTGGTACCAGGGATTGAACTTGGGTCCTTGCGCTTGCAAGGCAGGCAGCAGAACCACTGAGCTAAATCCCCTCCCTGTCTTGCAAATATTGACTCCTAAAACCATGTTCTTTCAACTTTGCCATTTCCTTTCCCTAAAATCTTAAGACTTTGAGATAAATAGGAACTTTAAGGTGAAAAATCTGAGGTTTGTTGATTTAAAATGCCTTTTTTGAAAGAAGCTTGTTAATGATAGAAGCAAAACTAAAATTCAGTGTTCCAGAGTCTCTCCAGCCATTTCATTTATTGCATGAGCCTAAGATTGGATTCTGAATTTTTCTTTATTATGTTCATAATATTATGCTCTATCGTCTGTATTTATCTGGAGAACTGGAAAATAGGAAAATGCCATTTTTGCATCCCTAGGCTACTTTATATTTTTCTGTTTTTAAGAGAAGTGATTAGTTGTTTTTTTCCACTCTACATTGGAGGCCTTCAATTTCAAGTTATGCTCTCTTACCTTCTTATTCAAGGGTGAATTTTTTTGTCAGAATGAAAACTAGCCCATTATTTTCCAAATTGTGGTATGTTGATCATGTATTCTGTGTGATAAAAGAGGTGGAGATGGTCTTGTGGCCATATATATGCTTGGGAAACGCAGGTTTAATGTAAAATACTCTTAAAAAAAATGGACAAGCCCTAGGTGGAAGTTCACACATGTAATCCCAGCACTCTGGGAGACTGAGGCAGGAGGATTGCAAGTATTAGCCCCATCTGAGCAACTTCGTGAGACCCTGTCTCAAAATGTCTGGGGGTATAGCTCAGTATGAAGGCCCTGGATTCAATCCCCAGTACCATCAGAAGAAAAAAAAAGCAAAACAAAATACTTACAGTACTTATTAAAACCTATACCAGCATATATACTTGAATGTAAATCTTCAAAAGGTATTACTCTGTCATCTTTGACATAGAATTCTTTTGCCAGAAGATAATATGACTCTGATGTTGAACAGAACACGCTTTAGGAAATGATGATTAATCAGATGCATTTAAATTGAACTGTGCTAAAAAATGTTTTCAGTGAGGCACAGTGGCCCACACTATAATCCCAGCTACTTGGGAGGCTGATGCACTGGGATCACAAGTTCTAGCTCAGCTAGGGCAAATTGGCAAGACCCTGTCTCAGAATTTTTAAAATAAAATAAAAAGTGCCGGAGATGTTGCTCGGGACAAAAGCCCTGTGTTCAGTCCTCTGTACCACACACACGTACACACAGTGGTTTTTCTTCTAGACAGAGTATTTTACATCTCAGTGATCCTTCCTGTTACTTTTCAGCTCTCAAATCATAACCAGTCCTCTTCCTCCAGTGTCTTCTCCTCCTCCTGCGTCTAAAACAAAAGAAGTTTCAGATGGTGAAAATCTAGAGGTGAGTATCAAGTCTTTGTAGCTTACTGTAGGAGAGATCCTACCAAGTAAACATTTTATGTTGATCTTTAAAACCTTGATATTTATTAATAAACTAAATATTATAACTTTGTTAAATAACTTGTTTTATGATGCATGTTTATAACTTCTCCTTTGAGTGTAATGTACCAGATAGCTTTAATTCACATGATTTTATTGGTGCTGTGGGTGTATAAATGGATTCATATGCAATGTGAAAATGAACTAGGCCTAAATATTTTATTAGGGAGACTCAGAATATTTATTTTTAACATATTTATGAGCATTACTGTAATTGTTGTTTGTGATTACAGTGTACCAATATATGAGTCTGTTACTAGGTATAATACATGAGGCCACGGTTTTTAGCTCATACAGATAGGTTTATTTTTGAGGTAAAACAGGCCACTCAGAATAGTGCTACTTTGAAAAATACATTTGGAAGTGCACTGCAACAGTTGATCTTGTATGTACTATCACGTTTGTCCCCAAGACTTCTAATGTAATACTCTCGTGTCCCCAGTTTGAAAACTAATATATCCTTTGATATTAAAAGTTCAATTTCAATATATATATTTTAGAAGTTAATGACTGAATGAATCTTTTAACTGTTGACTAAAGTTTGCATGTTTATATACCTCTTGATGTAACAGAGTATATTTAACTAGAGAAAGAATTTTAAAATCAAAGAATCATAGAATCCTTACGTGAATCCTAAGGAGCCATTCTACTGTGGACTAATTATTTTACCCTTTGAAAACTAAACATTCAGTGGTTAAATCATGCAGCCATTCATGCATAGTTTTTGAGCTCTTATATGTACCAGAAACTGTTCTGGGTGCTATGATGCACCAGAAAACAAAACAGACAGCATGGAGCTAATATTCTAGCATTGCAGTGAATGATAGCCAAAATGTCTGTACATATTAAAAGGGCAATGCTACCTCTTTTCTTTTTAATTAAAAAAATTTATTAGTACTTATTTGCAGAACATAATAAATATATCCATTATAGGGATTTGGAACATGCATATATTGCATATTGATCCTTTTATTTTTATTCAGTCTTCATCCTCTTTACTTCCCCCACCCCTCCCCTTTTTCCCATCCCCCCCCCAATGCCCAAACCCCTTTCCCATCCCCACAAAGCCAAAGTATTTCTTACATTTGACTTCTTGTTATCTCCACTCCCACCATACATTCTTCTAGATGACTTTGATAGCATCTTAACCAACCTGTACTTCTCAGAATAACCAGAGTCATTTTCATAAAGTGTAAGGCACATCATCTTACTTTCCTGTTAAGATCTTTCTTTCCATGTTTACTGCTTTTTAAATAAAGTTCATACTCAGCATTGTGCACTTAAAAAGGTTTTATATAGTTTGACCTTTGTCTTTTCAGCCTCTTTATTTAGTGTTCACTGTAATTTAACTACACTGGTCCTTTAAAATTTTTTTGAGCAAGCCAAGCTCAGAGGCTTTATATATAGTGTCATCTTGGTCTCAGCTAAATATGATATCCTGATTTCCTGATTCCTGCCCTTTCTGACCTCCTCATCTGTGCTATTTATTTTCTTTCTTTTTTTTTTTTTTTTGGTACCGGGGATCCAACTCAGGATCCTGCACTTGTGAGGCAGGTGGCAGAACTACTGAGCTAAATCCCTAGCCCTTAGTCTATACTATTTCAATGATCATTTCTTTAATGTCTTTCTTCCTCTATTAAATATTAAGCTCTAGGAGGACAGTTGCTCTAAACTGAGATATCCTAACCTCTTATATATTGCCTGATTTAGAATAAATATTGTGTGGGTGGATGGATGGGTGGATGGATAGGTGGCAAGGATGAAGGAAAAATGCAAGTGTAGATGGATGGGTGAAAATCTGAATTATGGTGTAAGATGTACAGATGAAAACTGATAAGCCAATGTATGCTTTCTTATTCTGATTGGTAGATGATTATATATACATTTCTTTTAATTCTTTCAGCAAGATCTGTGTACGTTCTTGATATCAAGAGCCTGCAAGAACTCAACACTGGCTAATTATTTGTACTGGTATGTGGAAGTAATTTTCTGTTTTATTTACTTATTCCCAAAGACCATTTTTCCCTGCTGTAAATGGTAATGGCAATTTAACATAAGATGTGGGCAATCACGAGACGCCTAGACAAAGTATTTATATTTACTTTGATTCCTTTATAACTGTGTTCATAGAAATGTTTGTTAGCATTAGTGCGTCTCTCCTGTTCACTAATTTTTCAAGAGTTGAGATAATGTGTTTTTACAGTTTGATTTGTTTGACTTTTCTGCTGTGTAAGTAGTGCATTATCCTTTATAATTTTTCAAGAGTGTATTTTTACATTATTTACCAAAATTTTGGAATCATGCAAAAATAGAAAGTCAGAACTCAAAAATATATTTTTCCTTTTAATGATGAAAAGAAACTTAAACAGAGGCATGCTTTAACTGAACTTAGACCCTGATCTAGGATTAGATCATTTACCACTTTGCCATTGGCAGAGTATACTCAGTGATCTTTTCTCATTTTTCCCTCTGAGGTTACATGGGTAAGTATTAACTGTCTGTTTTACATGAGAACAATATACTGAGTGTACTGAAGAAAAGAGAAACTAAGGCAAGAGAGTCTAACTGAATTCCAAACACACAGCTATAGGAAGCTTCGTTTCACTTATCTGTGACAGGCTTCTAAAGGTTAGAGGACAAGTAGTTTCAGCCACAATGAGAAGTATTTTGGCTCAATAAAAGAAAACACTGGGATTCAACACTATTTAAATGAATCTTACCGGTTTTACAGAGAAAACAAAGAGCAGAGCCAGTTGAGTAAGCTTTACCAGAAGCCTCTCTTTGAGAAAATACTGAAAACTATGTATCATTTTTTAATACCTAAGTTGTTTAATTGTAGAAGTGATCTCTGATCTATCTTGCTGCTTAATTTACAACCTTAACTAGTACAAATTAATTAGTGGATTCCTATTTTGAAAGCTTATTATTTTTGAATAATAATGAGGCATTCTGCCTTTCACGATGAAATTAAACAAAACACTGTTCTTAGACTTGGCCCAGAGAAACTATTCTATGAGTCTAGTCAAGCTTTAACTTCATTTTTGCACTCTCCAAAGGTGTTATTCTAGAAACTTCCCTGTTGCTAAGAAGATAACTAAATCAAATCACTCTTTTAACAAATACAGTCCTGTTATTTGCATAAAGAATATTTGTTTATGCCTTTATAGTTCTGTTTACAAGAAAGAAAACTCACTATCAACAATGTAACTACTAAGTCAGTCATTTTCCCCCTTTTGGAACCTGTGATTTATCCCCTCTCCACTGAGCCTTAGTAGTGGAAAGAAAAATAGTTGTCTGCTTCAACTTTCACAGTTCAGTATTCATAAAAATGCCTTTCTGTCACATTAAATTTTGATATACCCTTGAAAATATACACAGAATATTCTGGCTGGTTGTTAATCACTATTTTTCTTTTGAAAAGGTTTACTTAGAAATTCTCATTAACAAATTGTTATTGTATTTATTTGTTTATTTTTTGAGACAGGATCTTGCTCTGAAGTTCTTCTCACTGGCCTTGAACTCCCTAAGTAGCTCAGGCTGTCCTTGAACTTACAGTGCTCTTCCTGCTTCAGCTTTCAAAGTGCTGAAATTACACGCATGAACTGTTACATTGGCTTGCTATTAATGTAACTTGGTTTCCTAATATTCTCTATATTTCAGTCTGAATTCTTAAGTATGTCTACTCATTGGCACTGTGCAAAACATTTCCTCATGAAAGTGTAAGTAAATATTGAAAGAAAGTAGAGAAAAAAAAGTGTGTAGGAGGCAGACATATGTTGGCACATGACTAATCCCAACACACTGGGAGGCTGAGGCAGAAATACTGTAAGTTCGAGCCCAGCCTGGGCAATTTAGTGTCTTAATGAGATGCTGTCTCTAAATGAAAAATAAAAAAACAGCTAGCTTTTGCCGCCTACTGCACAAGCGCAAGGACCCAAATTTGATCCCCGGTACCAAAAAAAAAAAAAAAAAGCTAGAGGTTGTGGCCAAATGAGAAGGCTTCTAGTACCCCCCCACACACACACAAAGTGAGGCATGTTAACAAGTTTTTAAGTACTTCTAAGCTTAGATATTTTAAAAATTAACATTTTATATGTTCTTTTTATTCATTTACCAAGAATTCCTTCATATTTTATTTCCTTGCAGTATTTTTTGAAAGTTTTCTCTGACTTAGTCTAAAAGTAGTCAATATTAGAAAAACTATGTGCTTATATGCAGATTATGTAATGTTTTGAAATTATACATATTCTTGCATTTGACTGTAGAACGACTTTCATTATAAAATATGAAATTAGTTTTTATAGAATCTTTGACCTGTTATTTCATGTAGGAAGAGTTTTCACATCATTCTGAAAGCCACTGAACAGGAGGAAACCTACTACCATAGACAGGCAATTTCCAACAAGGCAATGGTTTCTGCTCAGGAAGAACACTTTATTTTTTCTATAGATAATAAAGGTCTGCCCCAGTTCCCAGTCTTAGGTGCGTTCTATCAAACTAAGATTTGATTTATGTTTTCCCACTGTATCTCTGATTCATTAGAGCAATAGCATGTGCCTTGTCTATTCATTCTCTAAGGAGTAATTGCTTTTCCTGTATTTATAGTCTGCATATTACACATTCAGAAATACTCATGGGGAGAAAAGCTATTGACGTGAAATCTTGATTTTGGTAGACACTGCTTTTGTGAATGTAGGATAACAGTATGGACAATAATTTCAAACAGTTGATTTAAAATGATCATACTCTATTTCAATGTGGAAAGAATAGTATAAAAATATTAATAAGATGTGAGAATTTAAATATTCCTCACTAAGCTTACTCTATATATGGTAGTAAATACCAAGCATTATTATCAATCAGGTGGCTACAGTCACAGATGTTCTGTACATTTGAGAGTTTATTTCTGTAACAAATGTATTATAAACTTAATCAATTGTGCTATTTCCTTTTGAACATTTTGAATTTCTTTCATTTGTTCCCTTTCCAGTGATTTAAACATGAATCCAGCTGTAGCTAAATCCTTAGGGGTCCATAGTTGTGCAGACAATCCTTTTAAAATGAATTGTGTCAACCTTTTAAGCCACAGAGGGGAGTTTCAGTCTCCAATCTGTAAAATGTTGGGTATCAGAATCTATAAATCATTCCAGTTTTTTTATTTTTATAGTCATTCTAGCGTGTTGAAATTGAAAGTAAACTTTGGGTCTTTTGACATGTTTTCTATAACTTTTAAGACCTTTCATGGTAATAAAAGTTATTTAGTCCACAAAATGAAATTGCCAGGAAACAGGTATCTCACTGATGTCGTCCTACAATGACTACCCAGACAATTTTGTCTGCATTTCTACTTTGAGGTGACAGCTTTCAAGGGAATACCTGAGAGTGCTTTGTACAAGCAAGTTTATTGGTGAACAGATAACTCAGAAATGAGTTAAATCGAGGTCTTCTCATCATGACCTAACCTTTCTCATATTTGGAGATAATACAGTCATTTATATTTTAGATGAAGTCATTTATATTTTTTCATTGCAGCAGAACTCTGACTTAAATAATTTAAGAGGTGTTTAATATTTGACCCTTATCATGAGGATCAGTGTGTATTTTCAATCACAGAAAATAGCTGCAGCCATACTGTTTACATGCTGGCCAAGAAGATCAGTAGATAGCATGCAGCAGTAGGGCCTGTATATTGTGGTTATCTGTATGTTCATTTGTAAATGAATTTGCTACATGAATACACAAGAAAGAAATGAATATGCAAATTTGATGGAGCCAATCAAGGACTTAAACCAATCAGGATTGGCTTTGAAAAAGATTATATTGACATTTTTATAGTTTAGAACCACTGTTTTTTGACATTCTTAGGTGTTGTTCTGAAATGACCAAATATTATAAAACGGAATGAATGAAAAATATTAGCTTATTTCTTAACTATTTGTAGCTCATTAATCTAGACAGAGTTGTCCAGTAGAACTTTACAGTTAATGTAAATTATCTTCAATGCTGTGTATTTAGCTACTGAGCACTTGAAATGTATATAATGTGACTAAGAAACTGAGCATTTGATTTTATTGCACTTTGATTTTAATTTAAGTAGTCTGGTGTCCATTGGCAGCTCTGAAAGGTCTAAGAGCATTCTGGATTCGAGTTTTTGGAATTTTTCCTTTAGAACTCTTGCTGGGAAGATAATACAGTGGATCTAGTATTGTGGTTTAACTGATAGCACTTTACAGAAAATTCTAGGTCCTAAGGCTTGCTAAAATATGTTATTATGATATAATATTGCTCTAAGAAATAGAGAAAAGAAGGCTCATTTATCAACTTGCCTTTGTATAAGATCATATCAGGTATATCTAGAGATAGTTTTTAATATTATGGCACCTAGCATCACATTCTGTATGCAACATTGGCAACATTGGCAAACCAGGAACCATCATCAGCACAAGCTCTAAGAGAGGCTTAGCCTATTCTGGGAAGTTAAAGAAGGAAGAGCTTGTTAGCATCTGTTGTAGTCAGCAGGATTCGGCAAGGGAATACATTAAATGGAGAATACATAACTTACAAGGTTATTTTATGATAATTACCCAAAGAGTCAAATGCAAAGGAGTGCAAGAAATTAACCACACACTAGAAGCCCAAAGGATTCAACGGAGGGCCTAGATCCCAGCAATTTCCCATACAGGTCCCGCTGAATTTCAGGCCTAGAGTCCAAGCCAGTGTCCTCCTTGAGTCCAGCCAGTGCCCTAGAACCCACGGAAATGTCTCATGCTTGTCTGTATTGAGGATCTGCACCTAGAAGGCCCAAAGGACAGTGGCGGAAGCCAGAAAATCTATGCTGGTGAGATGAAGGGTTTCTGCCACCAAGCTGAGGGATCCACATTGGAGCCAGGAAGTGATGCTCATGGTGAAGATCAGAGCTCCCCTGATGAAAACAGCAGCGATTCCCAGCAACAGCGAGGTCCTAGGCTCCTCCCCGCATGAGAACATCCTAGTTTGCATCAGGAAAACCATTCGCAGCAAGCTTCTCCTAGCAAATCAGCAGGCCAAGATCTTCCCCTCCAGTTCTCTCTCGTTTTTTGTTTTTTTTTTTTTTTTGGCTTAAATTCTTATATTGGTACATTTTAGGTATACAATACAGTCACATTTATCTTTGGGTGCTTGTACCTGTACGTAATGTATCTTGGTTCTTATTTTTTCCCCATTACCTGTGTGTCCTTCACCCCCCTCCACCCTTCCCTATTTACATAGACTTTGTTTCCATTTTTTTCTTGTCTCATAATTTTTCCTTTCCCTTCTTTCCTTTTCCCTTCCCCTCCTACTTCCCCTACCCCTTTGGACCTTTTCTTCCTATTTCAGATTATCAATTATTCATTTTAATCATTTTAATCCTTATTTACACTTTCAGTTTCTCACACTAGAGAAACTATTCACTTAAGAGTATGGCTGCAATATGAATCCATTTAGCTATAAATGTCTCTAGTTTCTCGTTCTTTATGGCTGAGTATATTCCATTTAAAAAAAAAAAACAAACCCACATCTTTATCCAGTTTCCAGTTGATGAGCACTTGGGCTGTTTCCAAGCTTTAGCTATTACGAACTGTGCTGCTATAAACATGGGTGTACATATACCACTGTGGTATGATTCTTTTAATTCTTTGGGGAAGATACCCAGCAGGGGAATAGCTGGGTCAAATGGGACCTTTAAGCCTAGTTCTTTGAGGTATCTCCATATGGATTTCCACAGTGGTTTCACCAGTCTGCACTCCCACCAATGATGGAGACGGGTTCCTTTCTCCCCACACCCCCGCCAGCATTTGTTTTCAATTGATTTCTTAACAGCAGCCATTCTTTGTGGGGTGAGGTGGAATCTCAGTGTTGTTTTCATCTGCATCTCTTGAATGACCAGTGATGTTGAACATTTTTTATATGTTTATTTGCTGCTTTTACTTCTTTGTCTGAAAAATGTTCATTTCAGATGCCCATTTTTGAATTGGGTCTTTGAATTTGGGGGGTCTGATTTTTTTCAGTTCTTTATATATTCTAGATAGTAGTCCTTTGTCTGATCACTGGAGTTTCTTCCATGTTGATTACATTTATGCACCTTCTCTTCAGATCTCAAATATTTATAAGGCTTCAGTGTAGTGTGAGCAATGATAGGCTTAGTGAGAAATGACCAATCAGAGCCTTCCTACAAGCAAGGCTTTCAGCTGGTGTTAAACCAGCTTGTTTCACATCCACATTAGCATCTGGAGTCCAAAGGAATATTTCTTCATGTTGATTCCAAGCTTTATATTGACAGCATTTCACTACCTCTTTATTCCTCAGATTTGTCTAGCAATTTTTGTATTCTTCTTTAACTTCCTGGTGATCCCAGGCTTTTCCTATAGCAGCCAAGTTCCTAAAGATTTCCCTCATCACCTCTCTGTAGAGCTTCTTTTGGGATGGACTCAGCAAAGCCTACTCCTCGGTGAATTTCACAGACACATCCTCAAAGGTCACTGCTTCCACTGCGTGGCTTCAGGGTCTCCCAGGGTCACTCCTATGCCGGCCGCATGCCAGTAGAAGTCACAGCAGGCGGTCGGCAGCACTCCACCTGTGAACTAGTGCTCAGGCACTGCACTTTGGTGCCATGATTCCAGAAGAAGGTCCAGTTCACTTTTTATGGCTGTTGATAACTGTCTTCAGGTGGATCCTCTATGCCCAGACCATGCTGATTCAGTTCAGCTGGGTGTTACAAGTTGACCATTAGTCAATCCACCACAGCGTATACAAAGACTTCTGGAGAGACAAATGTCAGGAGCGCTTGAGAATGAGTAGAGTTTGGAAAGATGAGATAGGGAAGGTATTTCTGGATGGTTATTGCAACATGAGTTGAAGCACAAAGTAGGTGCTTAGGAGCCTTACAGGATTGACCTGCCTGGAGTAGGAGTGCCTGCCCTAGGCAGTGAGGAAGGTTGAAACAGAAACTTGGCTACATAATCTGTTGTAAAATAGTGGAAAGGTGGAAATACTGGTGTTGTTAACAAGGGTGGGAAATAATAAAAGCTCTTTTTTTTTTCTTTTTTGAGTACCAGGGATCGAACTCTGGACCTTGCGCTTGCGAGACAGGCACAGGAACCACTGAGCTAAATCCCCGGTCCTAATGAAAGCATTTTAAACAAGAAAAATTGAGGACGATTAAATTGACCAATAAGTAATTTCTTCTTAGAGTTGAAGAGGCCAGATATCTGCTGTTTAATTTCAGATTGGCCAGGATAATATTGAACCATTGTTAAGAGGCATTTAATAGGAAAAATCAAAAGGGTATGGTGAATGATTGCGTTTAGGTGTTTGAGGTAGCAGACTGTCAACTAAAAGTTTGGCTCTAGATGCATGGATTACAAGTTGAACACAAAGTGTCAACATAAGTTTAACGCAAAACTTGGTTCTCTGGCTTGATTGCAACCCCACATTTCCCTCTTTTCTAACAGTCAGATGATTCGAACATATGTTTCCTGCCTGACTTTTGAGAAAATTTAAGCTTGTGAATCCTACTATTTGAAAATTTTCACCCCAAGTGCTTGGAATGTTGATAGTACTTCCAGTTGATGTAGAAAAAGATGCCATTTAGTTTGATAAGCTCAGTTTTACACATGTTCTGTTAAAAGTGAGTGGCAGTGTCTTTAAAAGAGGATCTCATTATGTGAGAGCTGGCTACATGATGAAACGCAAAATTATACCTGAGGTATATATTGGAATCTTTCATTTACTCAGCAATAAAATAATCATCTGTTACAAGCTAGACATAGAAGAGCTAAAGGTATAGAAGAAAATAAAAGTTAAACTGTCTACTATTAATGAAGTTTGCCTTATTAGATGGCTGAATAGATCTTTCCCATAAATAATATAATAGATAATAAAAAGCATCCATGACTTGAGATTTGGGGAACGTTATCATTTAAGGAGATCAAAAATTTTGGTTGCTTTTTATTGATAAAACAGGGTGAGAATCAACTTAGTCAATCAACTTAATCAATTCTGGCTGACAGCCCAGCATCCTGAGTTCCGATCTCAGCTCTATAATCATCTAATTGTGCCATCCTCAGCAAGACAGAGCGCCTCTGTTTTATTGTTGATAAACAAGGAAGTTGATGAAGATTTGTATTTTTTAAGCCACACATTATGGCCCATTGAAAGCATTTAAAGTTTCACAACTTAGCATTTGTTATTTAAAGAAAAATGAAATAGAAAATACTAGCCATGGTTAACATTGTTCAGAGTGTGGCTTTCAGTTTTATGCATCTGTGAATACATATATTGCAGTGCATACTGAGTTGTTATATAAAATGTTACGATAGCAGTGTGTTCCTATCAAAACTTTTAAATGACCTCTGACTCAGAGCATTGCTTGTATAATTTTTGTTTAAGGAGTTAAAATGTTTAAAATTTCATTAACTATAACAGGAGTAGAAAATTGGAAGATTATAGATGAGTTTTTGAGAAACGGGGAAATTGGATGGAAAAGGAAAAAACTTAAAATTTTATTCATCTCTCAAAAATATGTTGTGAGAAAGATAGCTCCAGAGTAATTTTCATGATAAGAAAGACTTAAGTAGTAGCAAAAGTATTACCTAGATATTAAAATAATGGTTTTTGTTCTTGAGTTACTTGGTAGATATGTGAGCTTACATGATTTTGAAATATATTACTACTCTTAAGTACTTCATAAAGTAATAAGAAGAAATGGTAGTTTTGATGGCAGAATTTTTAGAAAATTTAAGATTTTGCACAACTTAAAGCATATTACATTAACTTTCTTTATTGATGGTTGTACATGTTGCTCCTTAGTTTTTCACTTTTTCAAATTTTCTTTTCTTTGAGATCGGGGTCACACTATGTAGTTCAGGCTGGCCTTGAACTCACTATATAGCCCCATCTGGCATCAAACTCGTGTTGATCCTCTTGCCTCAGGCTCCTGTGTGTGGAATTAGAGGCATGTGCTACCATGCCTGGCTATTTTACACTTTTAAAAGAAGAGTGACAGAGTTTCATGACTCTCATTTAATTATTTCTGCAAGTATGAATTAATGTATTTTAATGAAAAAGTATATTTACCAAATAAATCTGAGTTTCATTTCACATTATATGGCTATTTTAGGTATGTAATAGTGGAATGTGAAGATCAAGATACTCAGCAGAGAGATCCAAAGACCCATGAGATGTACTTGAATGTGATGAGAAGATTCAGCCAAGCATTGTTGAAGGTGACTGTTTAATGTGGAGGTGACAGAGTGCAGTACATTGGCCATTTCTGGCATGTTGTCTGTGTTTATTATGTCCCATGAACAAAGAATGGCTTTTACATTTTCAAATGGTTGAAAGCAAATCAAAAGATTAGTATTTTCTGATACATGAAATTACTTTAAATTCATATTTTAATGCTGATAGATTATTGGGACACAGTCCTCATTCATTTACATATGGCTCAGTTCTTTTTGCACTGCAACAGCAGTTGAATAATTGAAATAGGAACTGTATGGCCAACAAGATCTAAAATATTTACTCTGTGACCCTTTATAGAAAGCTTGTTGATTCTCTAATGAAATAAACTTCTGGGCAGAATAACAACAACAAAGTAATAGCTTTGCTTTTAAAATTTCGCTTTCTGTTTTCTTCACCTAGACTAGGTACATTCTCAGAAATCTGGCAGTAGTCATGTCACAGATAATCTCTGTCAAGCTTGTTTGTTTCATCAGCTGTTTTTTCCTGTGTTCCCTGCTTCTCCTGTGTTCTTTTGATTCTGAAAGCACTGTCACACCCAGCAGAGGGCGCACGGGCAGTGAGCACAAAACATTCCTTAATCTGACTTTACTATGGAAAATTGTACTTTATAGCATCGTTCACGGCTGTTCTGTGCTTCAAATTTGCAAAAATTTAAAATGAATAGTAATAGTCACTTTAAGACTAAGCTTGTAAATAGTTCTCAGAGCTCAGAAATTCTCACTATAACTGATTGACAAATAAACCCAGGTTCTCTCTTTTCGTCTCACTTTCATCCTATGAAGCCATTCCAGTTTGTCTGATCTTAAATTTTCTCATCCTTGGAATGGGGTTAATATTTCCCCAGCTGTCCTGGGGAAATTTTAATTAGGAAGATTAAATGAGAAAATGTATTTTCCAGTATTTTATGAACTGGGAATCACTATATAAAGTTTACAGATTATAGGGGGTTTTTTTCTCTTTTTTTCCCCTCTAAACTAACATGAAGTATAATGGTATTTGGCTACTTCCTTTCCTGAGTACATGTTTTAGTTTCCTAAAGACAGTATCTTTGTTTCTGCCATATGTATACCTAATACATTTCTGGCATTACCAGTTTTCAGATATTTATTGAATCAGTGAGTTAAAGCATCTTGGATTGTATGAATTCTGTCCTGTCATATAGGTGGGGGCGGGTATTGTTTTGGATAGGCCACTATTCAAAAGATTCCGATAATTTTCAACTGTGAATGGGTTGGTAGTGCTTACTTAAAATAGTGGGTTTCTCATTATTTCTGAGTCACTGTAATGAATCACTTTCAGTTTTGCTTGGTGTTGAAGTTTATGACTATTACAAGAATAAAAAATGATAACCCATGCTCTTAAAGAAGCCCTGATCAGTATGTTACATAGAACTAGTTTTCCTTTGCTTTGATTCCCCTCAGGGTGATAAATCTGTCAGAGTTATGCGTTCTTTGCTGGCTGCACAGCAGACGTTTGTAGACCGGTTGGTGCATCTGATGAAAGCAGTCCAGCGTGAAAGTGGAAATCGGAAGAAAAAGGTAAAACTATAGGGTTTGCTTTGGGTTTATGACTAAAAATGACTTTGTATTGTAAAATAGTTTTGAACATTATTTCATTGGGTCAGTACAGTATATTATATGAATTCTTATGAATTTGTAGTTACAGAAACAACTCTGATTATATATGCAGTCCTGTTCAGGTTTACACATTTTATTTAATCCTCAGTGTAATTCTATTAATGAGGTATTATTATTATCTTAATTGGGTGGAATAGGAAGCATAGAGAAGTTACCTTGTCCAGTGTTGTCCAAATAACTAGTAAGTGTTGGAGTTATTTGTACCCATACATATTGAATGTATAGTTTTGATTCACAGTGCTTTATTGGCTCTGTTTTAGAATCTTAGCATTTTAGAACATAATGTAATTAATATGGAAAAGACCTCTATAGATCCCGTAGACTAGAATTCTGAGAAAATGAAGTTCAGAATAACTTGCCTGTGTTGCAAAATAGGTTGTTCATAACAACACTTGGGTTTGTGCCAGTTATCCCAGTTATGGCATTGATCTTTCAGGCAAAATGAGTAGAATAGTATCTGTTCTTTTATGTCATATTTTCTAATCAATAGCTTATATGAAAAATTCACTTAATTTTTTCCCCTAATCACATTAGATAACAGGCAGATCTTTCTTGATGACTTTTGTAAAAGAACACAGCACATCTTACTGTTATTCTCTAGACTTGTGAAAGAAAACTTGAGAGAGGAAAAGATAAAGAATTAGAAGTTCTAAGCAGGGGGTCAGGTTGAAAGAAATTCTTAGTAAAGATAAGAACAAGGAATAATTATTTACTGAGATGAAAAATACACTAAGGGAAACACATTTTTATTGAGTTGCCTTTTCTTTGTTGAGAAGAATCCTAAATCCTGGTCAAGTAAATCTGTCCTGCGGGCTGTGCCCCTTGCTTGCCATCCTAGTGAGAAGCAGTGAGAGCTTCAGCACCCACCAGCAGAGGGTGCATCTGTGCATCTACAGTGCAGTTCAAGGCTTTTTATTTTAGCAGCAGCAGCACTCTGGTTGCTTTTAGTGAGACTGTAGGGATTACAAAGTGAGGAAGAACAGTATTCAGAACCCTGTTGCAGTAATGAAGAGGAGAAACAAGGATGTGTGTGTCATACAGTAGAGGAGGTAGTAATAAGTGGCTGGATTTGTTACCATGTCTGCTTTCTGGTTCTTTTTTTGTCAGCACATCAATTAGAAATTCATTAAAATAAAATATTTAATCTCAGATTAATTGACATTTCCTAACATTGGTATATCTGACCATCCATTTGAGTAGGGAAATTATTGACTTTTTCATAAACATGTATAGAAATTCATACCAGTTTTCAGTTGACTTTTAAATTGGACTTGTCATTCAGAAAGACATATGGAATATTAATGAAGGAAAATTTCTGAGAAGTTCTTAAAGTCATTCTTTTAAACTTCTGTCTCTCACTGAGTCCAGAACTTGTTCCTTTGATGCAAACAACTAACATTACAGTTTAAATACTTTATGCCACTGGCATTGGCAATTCAAGGTTTCACTCTTGAAGTACAAGCTCACCTGTTAAAGAATGCAAAACTCTCCTAGCTTTCAAAGGAAATAGATTGGTCTTTTGAAATTGAATATGAGGGGTTCTGTAGATTTCAAAGCTGTTTCAGCATGACTTGGATTTTTCATTATCTGAGATCTTGGCTCAATTCAGTATCTACATGTGCTAAAGAAGAAAGGGATGGTGTCTTAGGAAGAGTGGAATTAGGCAGTCTCAGTGACAGATAGAAGGAAGGGGTCGTCAAGATCCTCCAAATGAATTCAGTTTCCTCTTTAAACCCCCAAAATGCACTGGGATAACATAATGCAGTTTTCAGATAATATTTTGTCATGTGAAATTAAGCTTCAAAGAAAATTTGTTTTTCTCTATAACTTTATAAATCCTTTAGAAAAAGATATTGACTCTTTTAACTCCAGCTTGAATATATTTGTTGTTCTTTCTCAACTGCAGCAAGTGAAATGTATTCTCTATTGCTCTTATTAACTTTTAGCTTTTCTTAGTCAAGAGAGCACTTTTTAAAAATAATGTTGCTGCTATTGTGTGGATAATTTATAAATGTTTCCCACATACATACTGTTTTATGTTTTCATATACTTTTATGATGCTATAAACATTTTCAAATTACTATATAAATACATAAACAGTATATGTAAAATAGTTTATACATTTTATAAAATATTTTCCATCTTAAACTAATCCTTTTTAACTTGTTCTCCTAGAATGAGAGACTACAGGCATTACTTGGAGATAATGAAAAGATGAATTTATCAGATGTGGAACTTATCCCACTGCCTTTAGAGCCCCAGGTGAAAATTAGAGGAATAATCCCAGAAACAGCTACGCTGTTTAAAGTAAGTATGATGGATCTTTAATGTAAATGATTGGAGTCTGATTATTTAAAAGTAGAACAGAAAAACTACCTTGGAAAATAGTAAATTACAGGGAATAGCTCTAATTCTATTGATTTAGTAAGTGCTAGATTAAAAAAGTACCTTTCATTTACTGTTGTGATTTAAGATTTTCTGTGTTATAATAGGCATTTTAAGAAATGAAATGTGTAAAATATTTTAATATCATTTTAAACTACAAAATTCTTTGAACAATGCTTAATCAGAGTCACTAGTTTTCTCCATTTAGGCTGTTTTGTTTTTAATTAAATGTAAATTGCAATGCAAAACATATATGCATTCAGTTCATAAGTTTGTAGGATTAGGTATGAGGCCTACTTAATTTTTTTAACATTTCTCAACCCAATGTCTATTCCAGTGAACCTTAAATGTTTTGCTTATATTTTCAAGTAGCAGTTCTCTTCAGCTTTCTTTTGGCTGGCCACAAATTGGACAGATGGAAATGGTACAGGTGTCTTTTCTAATCAGGGCAAAGGGCCACAGGGCAGAGCATCAGTCCTGTCAAGCATGGCTCTCTGCTGCTGTGAGCAGTCTCCGTGAGACAAGGTGTTTTAGGTCTTGTCATTCTAGTTTTAGGAAGGGGTAAGTTACAGTGAACATTCCTTTGCATTGTGTAATGCAGAGGGCTTGAATGACAGGAGGAACCAGCTCAGATATTTTTAAGAGGTCCATTGTCAGGGCACCTGTCTTGTAGCCCATCTCACCCAACTGATTCATAAGTTCAGTAAAAGAAACTAATCTTACTGCACTGTACAGAGTTGATAGTTTCTATTCTTTTAAAAACAATTTATAGTTGCCTTAGTTTTAAATGTTTGCTATAAACTGTTTTATTTGTTTTAAACTTCATTAATAGATTACCATCTGGAATTTGAATAATACTGGTATCACAATAAATGATTTGAAAATAGTGAACTGTAGAAAGCTGTGCTCAAGGCAGTGTACGTGCAACAACTAGCATTTCTTTGGGTAGAACAGACCAGCTCCTAGTATTTCTGTTCTCTGAGGACTAAGCAAAAGCAGTGAATTTAATTGGACATGGAAGTACAGAATTAGCAATTCTGCTTTCTTTCTTGGTAAATTAAGGAGGTTTGATCTTCTGTTACTAGGTTGATAATCTAGTGTTTTTTTAAACTATAATTACAGTAAAAGTTTCCTAAAATGATTTTAGGGTTTTAAGTGGTTTTATCATTTTGTTTCATGCAAGATAAAAAAGAATATCTAAGACACAAAGTGGTTATATGTAAAGGTACAGCAGTGGTGGCAAACCTATGCCACACATACTGCAGCAGGTTGTTATTTATCTTTGAAAGTTCTAAAAGGTTCACCATCACTGGGATAGAGCATAGGAATATGTATCTGTCACTTCTGTTAGGTGGATTTTCTTTCTTTTTTCTTTTTTCTTTTTTTTTTTGTACTGGGGATCGAACTCAGGACCTTGTGCTTGCAAGGCAGGCATGGTGCTGCTAAGCTAAATCCCTGGCAGGTGAATTTTAGATCCATGTTTGCTTTAATTGTAGAATAGTATAATTTTGTCTCATATAAACAAAGGTGATAGTCAATAAAATATGGGAAATTTGGGGTCAGAATATCCAGTTCTGTTATTCTTCTTCTAGCCTTAAGTAAATGAGCATTCTTGAAAATGCTGAGTTGGAGGCTAGGAATCATGAAGCAGTTACTATATAACTTTATGTAGAAAATCTTTATTATGTAACTGTATGTAATTCTTAATCATTTGTGGGTCATGTATGCCTTTGAGAATCTGGTAAAAGTGATGAACTATGCTCTTTAGGTTGTCCACATGCTTACACACACACACTCCTTAGAGCTGAAAAGGATAGGAATCCTTTTTTTCTAACATTTTTCAAGAATATAGACCTTATCCTAAGAACCCGAACTACATCTTCACAAAGAGTGGACTGTTTAAAGCGCTGGGATTAGTGCTAGTTATTCTGTTTTTATCATCTGCTTGTTTTATATGTCAGGTGACATCTAAATTTCAAAATCAGTTTTAATCTGAAAGGGGAAATCATGACAGAGATCCTTCTGCCTGTCATTTATTTTTAGGGAGATCACTTCCAGTTACTGTTCTTGAGCTGTTGAGAACTAGAGCTCAAGGTAATTTATAAAATACATTTCACTAGGGGTGATGAATGTATCCTACAAGTTTGAGGCCAGAAATTCAGTTCACCAGAGTTTATGTGTCCTAAAATATATTCCTTGAAGCATTTTCATGTCTCCCCCCATCATTCTGTAGGACTGTTATCAAACATACAGCAAAGTTGAGAGAATTTGCTAGTACACAGCTGTGTGCCTCCCACTCCATCCTGTTGTTAGCATTTTGCTTTGCTTTTCAGTGTATCTGTTCATTGCTTTCTGTGGTATTTTTTGTGCTATGATTTTCTTGGCTTGTATAAATTAGTTACTACCATTTGTTCTATTTGATTGAATTTTCTTCGGGTTATTATAAATTTCTTCAAATTTTTGTCTTAAGTAATATTTCCTCTCAGTGACCAAAATCCATAGGGTGTCCTCCTCAGAAGTTTTCTGTTTGTCTCAAATAATGCTCTGAGGATGCTACTTTATGTGAAATATTATGTACCCTCCCTTTCAGAAGAGAAGGTAATGTATTAATTTAAACATACCTAAACTAATTTAGGGATTTCATGCAATGAAGGGAAAGATTGTGAGGGAACATACAAAGATTGGAGATCTCTCTTGACCTTATAAATGAAGATTATGAGTGTCAAAGCTGCACAGGTAGTGATAATATATAAACTACATGGGGGTTCTTGACTTTTTGGAGTTCTTGGCACATTTTTGTGCTGCGTTGTTTTACCTTATTTATTCCAGTATATCTCAATAATACAAATAATGGTGGTAGGTGTATATACTCCTAGAATGCCTGCTTTGCATCAGTCATGGTGCCAGAACTTTTATCTCTGTGGTTTCTGATTTCTTTAGCAGAGGAAGCATTTTCTTTAATTGATGACTAAACACAGAATATGCACAGAATCATTCCAACTAGTACCTGGTAGAGCCTGGATTCATATCCATGATTGTTTGATTCCAAAGTTTGTGCTCTTTCCACCATAAAATCCTCTATTAGCTGGTTCATTATGCTCTACATGGCTCCCTAATCTTATCTTATTGATAGTCTATTTTGTTTCTTTAGGTCCTGTTTACCTTTCTGTTTAACTTACATGTCAGCATTTCCATACATCCAAATTTTAAAACAATGTTTTTCTTTTCCAGAGTGCTCTTATGCCTGCACAGTTGTTCTTTAAGACAGAAGATGGAGGCAAATATCCAGTTATATTTAAACATGGGGATGATTTACGCCAAGATCAACTCATTCTTCAAATCATTTCACTTATGGACAAGGTGAACATAACTTTTATGCTATTAGGGGACACTTTTTCATTTTGGAAAACTGGTTTAGTGTATAGGCTATTTACAGAAACAGAAGTGTTAATAATATTCAGTTTCAGTCCTAGAAAGCTCAACAGTGTCCAGTTGACCTTGAACAGGTTTGTTTTGGTGCACTTCAGAGTGTCTCCAATGAGGGCTGCGGAGCTGCGTGCATTCCATAAAAATGGTTCCAAATTAACGTCTCGTGTCAGATTTAGTAATTTCTAGTCAGTCTAATAGACCTTTTTTTTTTTTTTTTTAATCCTATCTTTGTTTCTGGTGTTTAGAGGAATATGCTTCCCATCATTTCTTTGTTTCTGAGTTTTAAAATATTTTAAGCTCATAAAGGACTGCATAAAATGGTAGGAGGATCCCATGTACCATTATTGAAAACTGATGATAGAGATTCAGAGTTAAAAATCTTGTCCTGCCTCCAAAAATTAATAAATGTGTTCTGATAATGAAAGTTAATTTAGTCAACATTACTTTAAGGATACCTCCTAAATCTTTATTAAAATACTATAGTATTTTTCCTCAGAACTTTTATTTGCTTAATGTATTTTATCCTCTGATTAAAAGCTGTTACGGAAAGAAAATCTGGATTTGAAATTGACCCCTTACAAAGTGTTGGCCACTAGTACAAAACACGGTAAGTTAATTTCACATCATGATTGTTTATTTCAGTGTTGCATGAGTGCAGTTTTCCTTACATGAAAATTTTTAAGAATGTTAGAGATTTAACTTATTTGTAGCCCTGAAGAACAGTTGGGCCAGCCTTTGTTCTCTCCCTTCTTCCCTTTTTTGCTGTTCTCTCTCCCTGCTCCTGCCTTCCCTCCCTTTCTTTTCCTGTCTTTTCCTTCCCTTCCTTCCTCCTTCTCACCGTCCCTTTCTCTGTATTCCCTCTTTTCCTTCTCTCTCCCCTTTTCATTTTTTAAATTCTTTTCCTGCTTGTCTTCCCCTTTCTCCTTTCCTAACTCTCTTTCCCACTTCCGCTTCTCTCTTCCTTTGTCTCCCCTACCTTTCTTCTGTCTTTCTTTCCTTCCATTTTTACTTCTTGAAATGATAAAGCAGCATACTGGAAGAAAAATTAACACTTTCATGATGTATTTCTTTGAAGTCAGATGGGTGCAGTTCATATTTTTCGCATTGTGATCTGTGCCCACAGTCATCCTTTTGAGAATTACTGTGGCCTGGAAAAGCTTTATACTGTGCCCTGGTTGTAAGAGCCACAGCAAACAATATCATCAACTGAGTTCATTTTTATGTATTTGACTTGAGTATACAAATAGATATATTCATACACTTGTATGTATATACATGTATTCTAGCATGTGAGTCTTTTTGTGATTAAATGACCTTTGGAAGTTTGGTAGAAGTTTCCCAAAGAATGTTTACCTAATGCTTAATTTCACTGTCTTATGCTTTATGCCTGCAGTTGCCTTAGAGAATCAAAATCGCTGTTTTACTTTCTCTCCTTTTCCCTGGCAACTCCTAGATCTCTTCAATGTTTTCATCACCCTTCTGATTTTCCCCTTGGGATTGTCTTTCCAAAAATGCAGATGTGCTTCTTCACCATCCTGCATAAGTTATATACTAGCTTTCATTTGCTCTTGGGACAAAGACCAAGAGGTTTTACCTAACCCTTAGGTTCTTGAGATGTGTGACTCCTGAGACCTACCTAGAGCCTGTTCTGTCTTTGCATCGGAGGTGTCAGGCACACCAGCTGCCGTGTGTCTTCTCTCAGACACCATTCTCATCTCAGTCTTAGAGCCTGCGCCTGTGCTAGGATCGCTATCAGATGTTCCATCTCACATAGCTTTACCTGTTGCCTTTATGATACTTAAATACACAACTTACATGTCCGATGTCCTTTGTTTCCTGTGTAACTTCAGTCTCCTTACACTGTTTAATTCATAGTATTTTCTCCAAGTAAAGCTTATAAGTGGTAAAATACACTGCAGGGTCAAGCATCTAGTTTTGCTTACTTGGCATTTTCTTGTTACATAGTAGAAAAATAATAAACAGCTGCTAAGTAAGTTAATGCAGAGTATTCTGTATTTGTGACATAAGAATAAAGGAGACATTTCTTAAGGTAAGTCTCACCCATACCAGATAATAGTCTATAATCCTGAAATATCATTGTTTTGATTTTTTCCATATATTTGTTATTTTATGCTCCTGTTGTTGTCTCCAGATTTACCAGACTTATTCTCATTCTCATTCACATACTATTCCCTTCCAATTTGTTTTGGTAGTGTAAGGAATTTATACTTCCCTCTTATGTCATTTCCAGGAAAGGAAAGGGTAGAGTATTAGATGAAAGCAGCCAAATGAGTATATATACAGTTCTAGGATTTGGTGATCATATTTCAGAATCCTAAATCTTTTAGAGTGATTTTAAATTTGCCCCATACAGTATTTAATTGTGATTTGTTATAAAACTACAAAAAGGAGAAATTTTTGATGCTAGGATTTAGAAGCTTCATCACTTACCTTATGTTCCTCATGTTCAATAATGGCAGATTCGCATGGAGAAACAAAACAGATGAATCAGCTTAACTAAAAATAAAAGTTTCCTGGTAATTACTATGAGATGCCATATGAGTGCCGGTATAGACTTAATGTAGTGTTCACAGATGTTTTTAAGTTAGATGTGGAATGTATCCATTATAGATGAATGTTATTCTCCACGGAGCCTGTACTCCTTTGTCAGTGTGTGTGCTTAATGCAATGCATTCATTTCTGTGTAGGCTTCATGCAGTTTATCCAGTCAGTTCCTGTGGCTGAAGTTCTTGATAAGGAAGGAAGCATTCAGGTACAGTATTGATTTTAAATGTTTACATGATTCATGTTACCAGTATCCAATTACCAGTATCCAGTTTTTAGGAAGAATATATGGAATAAAAATGAAAGTGTCCTCCGTCCTTTACAAGTTTTATTTGCTGTTTTTCTTTCTTTAGAAGGAAACATTGTTCACAGTTGGAAATTCTCCCATGTTAGTACAGTTCTTTGAACACTGCATGGCACATAATTGAGGATCAACAGTTAATTGAACAAATAAAAAATTTGTTAAAGGTTTATGTCGCATTGTATTTTGAAGTTTGGAAATACTGCAATTTATTGAAGCATTAATTGATCAACCTTTTCATTATTTCCTATTTTTGTTATTCCGAACAGTGCTAAGTGACATTCTTGCTCATATATTTTTTGTACAGTTGCACCCATATTACTGCAGTTTTTATTCATTTGTTACTGGAGTAGTGTCTCCCATCACGGCAGACTCTTCAGACTCTGGTGCGCTTATTGAATTCCTACCATTCTTTTGTTCAGTCAGCATCTAACTGTCTTTTGGACTAGACATTTTGTTGGTTATTACAGTTTCAAAATAGTTAATTTGCTTAATTGTATTAGATTCTTAAACAGGTAAATAATGTCTTCTCAGAACTTTTTTAGGAAATACGCACCAAGTGAAAATGGGCCCAATGGAATAAGTGCTGAAGTTATGGACACTTATGTGAAAAGCTGTGGTGAGTTTTTCAGGCTACTACCTTCTGTGTGTGTGATTGAATAAAGCAAAGCTGGCCAGCCTGATATTGCTGTACTCATAGGCACTTAGAACATGTTAAGAGGTAAGTTTTCTATAAAAAAAAGAATATAAGATATAGAATGTTGATAAAAGAAGGCATTAGTGTTTTAATGTGATAGTAATGACAGGGTTTAAATTCTTTGTTAGTCTTTATTGTTTCACCTAACTATAATCGCGAGTTACCTCTGCCTAGAAGCTGTTAATTTTCTCCTAGGTTTTCTTGTTCTTGAGGAACCACAAGTAGGTAGACTATGGAGAAAGTCTCAGTGAGAAAATAATTGTGCCTTAGTTAAAAGCTAAGTTGAACTAACAGTGCTGTTAAGAGAGGGCCTCTAATGATATTTTGGTGTCAGTACTTATAGGCCATTCTTAGAAGGGAGTGAGAAGTAGCATCCTGAAGGGATTAATTTATATTCTTCCGTCATTTTTGCCTGTCTTCATGAATGTATTAAGAATTTTAAAAACCAAATATTTAAAGAAAGAATTTAAAGAAGCTAGCACTAGAGTTGAACCCTGAGTAATATGTGATATATAATAGTTATATTTGTTTGATATAATACAATATTTATGTTTATGTCCATATTTAAGCCGCTACTTAAGCAAACAAAGCTGAGGGAACAAGGTAGACATTTAGCAACTATATTTAAAGCTGCATATTATTTTATGGTTTAGAAATTGCTTCCTTATACACAGTATTTTGTTTTCACATTTCTATGATGTAGTATTTAAGATATTTTTAACCTCGTGGAACCTAAATCAAATGAACTATTTATTTATTTTGGTATGGGGGTTCGAACTCAGGATCTTGTACTTGCAAGGCAGGCAGCAGCACAACTGAGCTAAATCCCCGGCCCAAATGAACTTTATAATATTTGTTGTTTTTCAGTATGGTGACTTTTGTTGTGAACATGTGGTTCAGTCTTATTTCTATAAATAGCTAAAATAAACTTTATTTTTGTAAATACTATTTTACAATACTGGAGTTTTGTAAAAGCCATTATATAATTTTATATGTTTGCAAGTTACATTACTATCAATATTCTAAGGGGAAAAATAGATGTAGCATGGGAAAATAAGCTATAAAAGCATTGGTGTTTGCTAAATTCTACTTTTGTAGTTTAAATAATTGCTAGATTTATAGATTTTAACTGAGAAAGCTAAAAAAGCAGATGCCAATGAGTCAGCCCCAGCATCGATCGTGTAATTTTTCTTAATAGTTTAGAAGACTATGGTGTGAATTTAATAAATGCCTTTACTACTGAAGAGAGAGCATTTAGTTTTCTATGTGCTAGCATGTCAAGATTGCTTCTGTACAAACTGTTGTTTAAAAAAGCCTTTCATTTACTTTTGTTTTTTTGAAGGTAACAGTTAAAGATTATGGGATAATTGACAGTTTATTATATATTTCTGTAGGTAATTCATACTCAATGTCATATTTAAAATATTTTCAGTCTGAAATAAGAAATGCTAGACACGTTATAATTAAGATTTCCTGAAAACTACTCTTGATACAAATAACTTTTACAATTTAACAAGATTCAAAAAACCCTTTTTTCTGTAGCAAATAGTAAAATTTTTTTGAGTTTCAAATGATAGAGTTTTAATAGATCCAAAGGAAATTACAGATCTGAGGATTTAGGTGAGAAGTCAGAGATAGAAGCAAATTGAAATTAAAGTATCACAAATTGCTTTGAGATTCAGTGGGATGTGTAACCTGGTTTGCATTTTTTTCCCTGTTACCGCAGCTGGGTATTGTGTGATCACATATATACTTGGAGTTGGAGACAGGCACCTGGATAATCTTTTGCTAACAAAAACAGGTAAGAAATAATGGCTATCAGCAGACATCATTTATATGCCAGTGATTTTAAATCCAGACTACTTAATGAAATAAGTTGAATAAGTGAAGCTAAACCAAAGCATCTTTAAAAAGTCCCTTAGGTGGTACTGAGGGAGAACATTTAGAGACACTCTCTTCCCCTGTAAGAATCACTTTAGTAGTACAGTAATCCTACAGATGATTACCTAGACCAGCATGGCAGACCTATGGCGTGCGTGGGACAGCAGGCACACAGAACCCTCTGTCAGCAGGCGAGCCAAGTCGCCCCAGCAGGTGAGCATTGGATATTCAGGTTTAATTGCATCGTTAGCACTTTGCAATAAATAACTGGGTTTTGGGTTGCATTTTGAGCACTCGGTCTCTAAAAGGTTCGCCATCGCTGACCTAGACCTTGCTTCTGTATTTGCAGTATGTCTTTGCATGGAAACCCCATAATATGTGCACACAGTCCATTCTTGTATTGTGCAGATTAAGTTAAAATGTTCTTTCTCTTACCGAAATGTGCTTAATTCACTTTAAAGTGTGTCTCTGGTTGTTTGATTTTCCTCTTGGAATTCCATGGAATAATCATTCTTAGAGCTTCTTTTTTTTTTTTTTCTGAAAATTTTTGTCTTTTTATTTTACTGATTCACTCCCAAGGGCTAGAACCGTACCTGGAACATTCTTGGGGATGTGTTATGTACAGGTGCTGACTCCCCACATGGAATGTAGACATTACTATTACTACAAACATACTCATAAAAAAGAAAGCAAAAATTAGTGAATAAAATAATCCTCCCAAATTCATTCCATTTTCTCCTTTTTTTGTTGTTCCTTCCTTCCTTTCTCCCTCCTTCCTTTTGTTGCCCTTCCCATTTGAACATTTTCCCATTTCCCAGTACCTATTACGCATTTTAGTCTTGATTTCCGCTTTCGGTTTCTTACACCAGAGAAACAAGGCAGTATTTAAACATGTGCGTCTGATTTATTTCACTTAAGAGTATGGCTCAAGGTCCATCCATTTAGCTATAAATGTCTGAAGTTCATCTGTCTTCACAGCACAGTAATGTCTAAAAACAAAAAAATCACATCATCTTTATCCATTCATCAGTTGATGGGCACGTGGGCTGTTTCCAAGATTTAGCTGTTACAAACTGTGCCACTATAAACGTGGGCAGCTTCCTTCTTGCTGATAACTCTTTAGCCTTATATCTTTTGACATGGTATCTGTACAGACAGCTTCTAAACGTGAAGCGCTTTGTGTCAATCCATTACTTTAACTTCAAGTAGAATTTTCCAGTTGTGTACCTGAAATAGTAATTATAGAAGGCCAGTTACAAAAGCTGTCCCTTTCCCCCTACTTCTCTAAAACCTGTTCCTTACCTCCTTTTTCCATCTCAGGAAATAACAGTATCGTCCACCAGGTCACTCAAACTGTAGACCTAGAATTGTATCTGAATATCTTTCTTAGTCCCATCTCACATACCAAATGTATTAGAAAATCTTATCTACTTCTCACCTCAAGAGAAGATCATGAATTTGCTCACTGTCTGTGTTTCCACTATTCTACCCTCTTTGAAGCCACCAGCGTGTTTTGCCCAAAGAGTAGAAATAAAACATGAACTCTTTATTTTAATTCTGTGGCTTGCCCACTCTAATCTTCTGTCTGAAAGTTAGTCTACTTCTGGCTCAGGGCAAGTGCCCTTGTTTTCTCTTTCTGGAAAGTTCTTCTCACAAATGTTTGCAAAGCTGATTTTTAGTTATTTGAGTTCTAGTAATATTTCTTTAGTGAAGCCCTCAACTCTTTTAATTGGAACAACATGCATATCTATCCTCCTTTATTTTTATTACTGATTTATTTGTAATACTTATTAACTAAAAGAACAGTAACTTTTTGTTTAATTCAACAAGTATTTATTGAACGTGTACTAGATGCTGGGGAGGTAGCAACAAGGACAGAAATCTATGCACCATTGAGCATGACTGTCATCATCTCCCCTTCAAGATGTAAGTCTTGAGAGAGAAGGGCTCTGTCCTCTAGGTTACCCCCAGGCCCATGGAGCCTTGAATAACACTTTAATAAAAGTGTTCAGTAAATCACTATTGAATTAAGAATGAGTAAATATTTCTGTATCCATTTCTTCTTTTTGCTAAATCAAGTTTTTTTCAGACTTCTTGCAGAAATAGCTTTTCTAATTACTACTTAAATTGATTTCTCAGCTAGGCATGGTGGTACACATCTGTAATCCCACCACTTGGGAGGTTGAGGCAGGAGGATCACTGAGTTCAAGGCCAGACTGAACTACATAGCAAGACCCTGTCTCAAAAAGACAAAACAAAACAAAAAAATAAGTTGATCTCTCATAGAAGGATATTTTCTGATTTTTTTAAATTCCAAATTATGATAGCCAGAATTTAACGTAATACTTCAGACATAGTCTGACCAATTGTTAATGTAGTCATCCTCTTAATTCTTACAATCTAGAGTTTCATGTATACATTTTAAATTATTACACTTGAAAAATCATCTGTACTAATTTGCATTTGTGAAGTCATGTCTGGAAGAGGCAACTCTTTTAATAAGGACAAAAGGATATACTCAGGTAGTCATTTGCTAATTTAGTAAAGGATATTTATAAAGTATTTGTTTGGAGAAAATTATAATTTGGCAAAAGTTTTCATTCATTTTATTGACTCTTTTTGCTTGAATCTTTTAACCATAAGAAGAAAGCTACCAAAATGCTACCACGTATTTCTACTGTGATTATTTGGGAATCACAGTAGTATTCTCTAATTCATAGAGTAGCAATATCCTTCAATATTATATTCACAGATCTTGCTTATCTCTTTTGAAAAATTTTCAGATAATACAACACACGTTTTTCTTTTTCTTCTCACTTTTTGAAAAGTATTCTCTCATCTCTGTGTGTTGATAGGAGTATTTTAGGAGTCAGGTTTGGAAAAAGTAGTTACCTAATGTGTTCTTTTAGTTTAGGTCTCAGTTGTAAACTGTAAAATTTCAGAAACAAGCTTTAAACTTCTTATTATCAATTTTCCACTAAAGGGTGCTTCACATTTCTCTTTAAAAATCAGAAACTTTAAAATGTGCTAGATAAGAGGCACATTCCTTTTCTTTTTTTCTTTTTTTTTTTCTTGGTACCAGGGATCAAACTTGGGTCCTTATGCTTGCACAGCAGGTGATGAAACCACTGAGCTAAATCCCCAGCCCAACAACCTTTTCTTGTAAAACAGCCATTCAACAAAACAAAATAAAACAATAAATTTTTGTTTTTGTTTCTTAACTTACCTACTCTTTAATTATTTCATCCAGGTATGTTATGCAGTTAGAATTTTAAGTCTTTCTTACTAGGGAAAAAACCTCACAAATTCTCAATTTAGTTTGAACAAAATTAAATTATAGAAAATAAGACGGATCATGTTAAGATGAATATAAGTGTCAGACACTCATCAACTTCTGACCATTTATAATTAATTTAAAATTTTTTGTGTTTACACAGCAAATCCATGTTTCAAAGCAGTTTCACGTTGTAGTGATTATATATTTTTTATAAACAGATGTCATATATTTTTTATAAACAGATGTCATATAACTTAGCTAAGGTGAATTCTGATTCTGGTTCACTCTAGGAAGCACATTTCAGTGCTTTTACTTAAAAATACCTCATATTTTGAAGCATCTTTCATTGTTTTGCATTTATTGTGCCTTGAACAAAAATTTTATACCATATTAAAAATTGTAAACTTTGGATTTTCTTAGGTAAGTGTCCAATCTTTCAACAACTGATGGGGCATTTTTTAGATACATCAAGCAAATAACATGCATTCCATTCCTCAAAATAAAACATCGTTGTCTTCTGTTCTCATTTGTCATCCAGGGAAGGTTTAGAGTATTGCTCTGCTTCAAAGTGCAGTGAATGGTAATTACGAGTTCCACCGCGTCATCTATCCCTGTCCCAGGTTCATCTCGATGGTGTCATCTGGGGCTTCGCCTTTGTCATACTGTTCTTCCCTGTGAATATAGATGAGACAAAAAAGATCCATCTAAGAATTGTAGGCATGTGTGAAAAAAAATTATTAACTGAATAGGGAATTTCAAAATCAATTCAAAGGCAGTGTGCTAAAATACAAGCTATGAGGCTCAGCTACATGTTTCCTAGAAGTTTCTTTTGACCCTGGTTTGTGAGATTTTGGAAACTTTCAGGTTGGTGGAAGTTTTCTCACTTGTGCAGCAGAGGGCACTGTGTATCCACCTAGAAGTGAAAGTGCTGCAGTGTCATTGTCAGCATATTGCTGTTTGATCAATTATAACATTCTTTTCTTTCTTTTTTGTTTTTTTGGTTTTTGGGTGTTGTTTTTTTTTGTTTTTGTTTTTGTACCAGGGATCGAACTCAGGACCTTGCGCTTGTGAGGTAGGCACGTTGCCACTGAGCTAAATCCCTGGTCATAACATTGTTTTCTTGAAGCAGATTTGGAGTGGCTGATGTTTTACTTTTTAATGCATTACTATAGCACTCTTAGGGCAGGAAGCGAACAAATTCAAACAGGTGAGGAATTGGAAAATGACTTTTCCCCCCTAGACTTGATGTTCATAAAGGAAGCCTTAAGAAGTTTGTTCGGGCTAACAGTTGTAGTACTTGGTTTGAATTTCTTTCTTTCTTTCTTTCTCTTTTTTTTTGACAAAGAATTTTTTTTTTGAGGATTTGAGGGGCATGAAGTCTGGATAACTGAAAACCTTGTTTACTGCTCATGTTATACAGACTTTACAATTGAATTAATACATAAATGACCAAAATAATTCACAAATAAATACAGGGAGCTCAGCATCTTTATTAAGGAGAAATAATCAGTTCTAGGTCCTAAAGTTGTCTCTTCTATTCTTGAGTTATCTCTTTGGGAGAGGAATATTAGCATCCTGTCTCTTAGTACTTCAGAGTAAGATGTTTTGAGTATTAGAAAGCTCAAGGTAAAGAAAAGCAATCAGTGCTATCCTAATAGAACATTTTTCTCTTAAGTATCTTCTATCCTAATCTTCTTTATTATTCTTTAATACTAGTGACATTGATTAACTTTTTTTTTAATTCCAAGGAAAACTTTCATGTTACAATTAATATGTGAAGCTCAAAATTTTAGGTAACTTTGGATAACTTATATCATATATGTCTTCTTTTCTAAATGTATAAATAATACTAAAACTTTTTTCCTGGTGGTTTTTTAAAAAATGAATAAGTGAACTGAGTTTTACATGTCCTTTTTATCTACCCTTAGGGTTTCCAGGAAAATATTTCATGTCTATAATATATTTTATCCATGGACATCCTGTTTACCAATGTTGATCTATTGTCCATAGTTGATACATAAGACCATCTGTGCATCCTCTTTTTATCCACAAGTACTTTTTAGTCTTCATTAATCATTTCTTTAAGGTTTAATAATTAGAACATGTCTTTGTATGTATTATTTTCTTTAGACACTATTTTAAATGTTCGATCTGTTGAACATTACTTACATGTTCAGTATTGGGGAGTTAGTTATATACTTACCAAAACCTGTCATGAGAAAGTTGTTAAAGCTTGTTGTAAAGGGTGCTTTTTAAAAAAGTTTATTGTAACAGGGCATGGTTTCTTTTCATATGAGGCAATTTAAAAAAAATGATAAGATGCTATACTTTTTATCTGTAAGGAGCTGGAAATCACCTTATGGGAAAAGTAACAGGCTAAATTATGAAAAAAGCACTAGACTTGTATGGAATGTAAAGGAAGAAGAATATGGGCCAGGGATTTAGCTCAGTGGTTCCACTTCCTGCCTCGCAAGCACAAGGTCCCGAGTTCAATCCCTGGAACCAAAACAAAAAGGGAGAATACACATTCCAGTAGAAGCTGAAGAAGCATAGTCTTTCCACATAATAATATGTAGGCTAGTTACAGTACTTTGAAGTCATATTATGGAGGGAAGTCAAGCTACTTCTTTTTGGATCATCTTCTATATGACATAGCTTTATTCATTGGAGTGAAATTGTAGACTAAATTGTATTTATTTTCTTATCTGGTGATGGTACTGGAAATGAACCCAGGGCTTTCACACTGTACTACATTCCCCAGTCCTTTATTATTTCGAGACGGCCTTGCTAAGTTGCCTTGCCTGGGTTCAAACTTGTGTGATCTTCCTGCCTGCCTCAGTCTTCCAAAATGCTGGGATTTCAGGTGTTCCCCGCCTACTGGACTAGGTGATGTATTCTTTAATGCTGGGTGGATTCTGTATTTGTTTTGCTTTGCAGTGAATCATTGAGGGGGTGGTGTGGATTTTAATCTCCACAATAAACTAACCAAAGTTGTGAGTCGTATTAGTACAAATTAGACCAAAAGTGCCTAAACTTCAGCTGGTATTATAACAACAATTGCCTGGGGAGCATGTAAAAATACAGATTAATGGGCTCCAAGCTCAGAGTCTCTTAAACTATTTAGAATGTAGGGCAAGGCCTGAGAATTTGCTCTTATAGCAAAAAATACTATCTATAGCTCTCTGAAAAGGTTATTAAAATTCTCTTCCTTTTTAAAGTCTGTATCTGTTTGGGATCAGATTCATTTTTTTTCTAGCATAGAATGGAAAAGCAGTAACCATGAAAATCCATTTGTCTCCTATTAAGCTAGATGTTAATGATATTAGCAGAATGTAAGACAATCCCCTCTTCATTTTGTGTTTTGGAAGTTATTTTCATAAAAAGCATGTTATAATTACTGATTATTTTTAAATAAATTAGTATTTTAAAAAATCACTTAATTTCAAATGTAGTAAATATTCATAGCTACAGCTCACATAAACAATGTTTTGCGGGTTCCTCAATTTTTAAGAAATAAAGGGATCTTGACACTAAAATGTTTCAGTTATGCATTGAACACCACTGTTTTTCATCATCAGTGAGTTATTCTGCTTTAGACATCAAAGTTGTTCTCCATAATAAAGGAATATTGCAGTAACTAAGTCTTCATTTGTTTAATGATATGAAAATGTGTAACATTTAATATTTTTCTTGAATGGAGCTAGAACATAGTCAGGTATACTAAGTAAGCTATGGTTTCCCCTTTTCATTAGTTAGCTTAATAATATGAAACAATTAGATAATTGGGATGTCTATACTAATTTTAATTTTTATGTACTCAAAATTGTTTCTGGAAATAAATTGCATCATTATTGTGCTTTTGAATATGAGAATACCTCTAACAAACTATAGTTTAAAGTTTGGTAAATATTGGGAGCAATGGGAATGTGTTTTTTTATAGAAAACTTTTGATTTCAAAAATACAGATTTAAGTTTTCTACTTAGTTACTGTTCTCATTGCTGAGACAGAATGCCCAGCACCCAAAGTTAAAGGAAGAAAGGTTTATTGTAGCTCACAGTTTGTTGAGGTTTCACTCCATAATTTGCTGGATCCAAGGCAGGGTGGCATGGCAGAGGGGCATCACAGAAGAAAAACAATTCATGCTGGGCAGAAGGCAGCAAAGTAGCAAGGAAGCAAGCAACTAGGAGCAAGGGATAACAGCAGCCCTCATTCTATCCCTTATATTCTATCCAGGATACTCGCTCTTTAGGGGAAGGTAACATTCACACCCAGGGAAGACCACTGTCAATCCTAGCATCACATCCTTAACCCCAGCATTGCACACTCCAGCCTCCTCTGAAAAGCCTCACCTGTGACTGCATGAGGCTTGGTGGGGGTGGGGGCTGGATACAGCCATAACAGTCACCTTCTTTGTTTCTGAGTTTAGTGGCATAACTACAGGAAAGGCACATTCACATAAGAAATAAAGGGATTTTTATAGGAAAATTGTAATGGAAATTTAAAAGCAAAGCTCTACCATTAAATATTTTTAATTTTTATAGTATATTCTTTTTAATCCAAAAACCTCAAAATGTTTTGAGCTACAGTTTTACAAATAAGTTTATGTCACTTATGCAAATAACAGAAACATTTAATTAACACCTTAATTCTGTGTCAAGTTGGGAGAAAAAGGTGGTAATTATAGTGAACAGCTTGTTTTATATAAACTTTACTTCTTGACTCTTTAAGGGGATAGATTTAAGTAAGACCATGCTTCTTGAGTTTCTTAATTAAGCAATTTTTTTATATTTCATAGAGTGCATTTTTAAGCCCTTACAATTTGCATTTATTGATATTGACTTCTAAAAACCATTCTCTTTGGTAGGTATGTATGTATGAGAATGAACTTTCTTAAAATATTAATAGCCTCTTTTCAAAATACATGGCTCTTTGAACTTGCAAAGCATAACCATGGTTTCATTGTTAGATACTGAATCTATTATGTCTTATAACAGAACCACAACCCATTCTTCTGGAGTTTTCTTATAAGAAGGATAGAAATATACCCTTCATTTGTAAGCAATGATACATAGCCAACATTGAAATTCCAGTAATACTTGTAATCAAATGAAGAAGATTGGACTAGGTTCCATATTAAAAGCATCATGCCCATTAAATAAATCATGTGTGATAGTAGCTTTGTTGAAAAGACTGATCCAATTGGTTATCTACTCAAGTGCTCAGTATCATTAGGAATTAGAAATTCATTAGGAATTATACTGTTAACAAATGGTATTTGATTAATAAAATAAAACAACCATTGTGACGCTCGCCTGTGATCCCAGGACTTGGGAGGCTGAGGGAGGAGGATGACTGTGAGTTTAAAGCCAGCTTGGGCTTATAGTGAGTTCAAGGCCAACCTGAGCTGCATAGTGAGACCCTTTCTCAAAAAAACCAAGTCAATCAATCAGACTAAGAGTTCATTTCTAACTGTAACATTGTGAGTTTTACATTCCTGTACTTCTTGAAGGGAAGAATTGTTTAAAAGGTAGACAGTTGGGAACTCTAGAATGAGAATAGAGCACTAAGAGATGTGCTTATCTAGTTGAACAGAGAATAAATATGTAGTTGAAGGCCATGAAATCCTTAACAAAAGTTGATCATGGACTTTTCAGCAACTCATGGAAAATTA